ATAGCCGGTCTGAGCACGGAAAAATCGTACCTCACCAACATGGTGTTGGGTAGCCCGCTCGCGGCACTTCCTCAGATATTCTTATTCCACATTCTCACACTTTCTCTTGAAAGCAAGCAGCAAACCGTCAGCGATAGTTGTGGAAGAAATCACATGCTACAAAATAAGATGACAAGCTAGTAAAGAAGAGACATCTATGGACTATCGTTGACAGCGTCAGTCGTCACTGATTGTAAGTCAAACAGTGAGCGAGTTGATAATTTTCCCTTGGGATGAGAAATAGAACTAAGGTTTTTCGATAGTTAGGTTAATCGAACCGACGTTCCTACGGAAGTCGATTCTAGGGGGAAGCTAATGTAACAGCTTAGATAATTAAAATAACCCATAGTGTCATTGAATAAGAAAAAGAGAATTCAGCGAACAAAATTTTCTTTTCGACGAAATCATTTACTTAAGCTGTACATTCGTATATATAGTTATATGGAAAATGTATGTCTATAGAAGGATAGAATTTTTGTTCTTCCTTACCCCTTGATTAGTACGTTAACCTCATTTGTTCTTTATTGTCGAATCCATTTTTTGTGTGATACAATCCATTCTATCCTTCTATAGACATACATTTTCCATATAACTATATATACGAATGTACAGCTTAAGTAAATGATTTCGTCGAAAAGAAAATTTTCTTCGCTGAATTCTCTTTTTCTTATTCAGTAACAGCTTAGGTTGGTTGGTTAAGAGTTGACCCCAAACAACCAAGCATATGCCAAAACAGCATTGTTCAAGTAGTCATTCACTTCCTTGTTTTGTATAAGCGTTATATTCCCTATTGTCTTATATTGAATGTTGAGAGCCTTTGTTTGTCTGAACAGATAATCCCACGCTCCACTGTGACCGCGCTAAGATCGAAATAAAGACCTATTCACTACTTGTCTGGTTTCTTCTATCAATAGCACAAGGGTTACTTTAAGACACGAAAACTTTATGCCAGCATATTAGCGATCCCAGTAGATAGGACCTACAAAGCTCCCCGTTTCTCTTGGATCTAATCTTTCACACACGGTGATAGTACCAACCAGATGACTTTACTCCCACCCTTCGGGAGAAGTGATCATGAGATAATCTTATTCAAGTTCATGGCTGAGAAAGCCTGTCGAACAATTGCACTGGCCCATTCTAATACATGGGAGACAGACATGAAAGTGATCAACTCAGCGGCCACGGTTGAAAACTGTATAATCGACTTAGGAGCATCGGCATGGACTCATTTTCGGCGGTTATACAATCAAGTGACCCAACATTTTATACTCTGGATAGTTGTAAAGAAAATGGGGAAGAGTGGTAATCCCTGGATAGACTGGGATATAAGATGTTTATTAAAACAAAAGAATATGTGTTGGAACATTGCCATTAGCCTTAAAACAACAGGTACGATGGAACGCTACAGGTTGGTAAGTAATGAGCGTGCAATTGAAGTCTGGGAAGCCCAGAAAATACATGAAATATGGTTAGCTCAATCTGCAATCAAGCATCCTAAGAGAATATTCTCGCACCTGAATTACGGGACAAAAACGCAGCATTGAATTTCCAACTTATTTGTGGAAGAGAGTGAATCTTAAGTGATAGAGGATTATCAAGAAAAGCGTAGGCAATGACAAACTATTTCGGGACATTTTTCACTCAGGAGCCTCTGTAGTGGCATTGGGCCCTAACCACACGATCCTCGAAGCTGAACACGAGATGACTGAGAAAACAGATACTTAATATTTAACGCGAAGCCATTCACCAAATGTTATTACCATGTATTTTAATGCGGCTTGTTAAAATATCGTTCTTCCTTGTTATAATCACGCTATACTTGGTGTATAAGTAATGTTCATGTGGGTTTTAATTTTAACATGTTTTAAAGTTATTACATGTATTTCCCGATCAGTTGTCGCCCCATTTTTGATTCATTTTTCAGCTTATCAATACCTGGGTGATTCATATTAATCTTAGTAACCACCGGCGCGCGATAATCACATTCAATTTGGTATCGAACCAGAATCACGTTTATTCTGGTGGGAGAGTAGTATAGTGGCATTGGGTACTAATCACACAATCCTCAAAGCTGAACACGAGACAACTGGAAAAATAGATAGTTAACACTTAAGGCGAGGAAAAACCCAACGATGGAGAGGGCGGGAACAATAAGTTGAATTAATTCGGGTTGTTCGGATGGCATTGTTCGGCCTTGGAGGCGTGGTCCCTGTTGAATGCTATCTTAATTCTCTTATTCATATTAAATATATTGTCATATCTCTAGCTCAAGGTTGTTCTTCATCATGTATTGGTAATCGTAACGATGCGATGAGTTAGTGTATACGAAGATGTGAATTCCACGTAAGATCTTATAGATTAAACAGTTATGTCATTACAAATCTACAATTTTAGGACTAAGCATATTATTAGAGAAGTACTAATAACGAGGTAAACCGTATTTCTACACGTCTTTTAGACGAACAGCTAGACTTAAACACAAAATCAACAAACCATCTGCTTACTGTGGACTTCGACAAAGTCGATGTACTTAAGGCTATTGGCACTTTAGAGACAGAAATGTCAACAGAACCGGATGAACTACATTCTGAAATCTCGTAATAAATTGCACAATATATTACTGCTCCATTGACTACTATGTTCAATATGTCACTTCGTTAAGGTATGTTACCTACGGAATAAAAGAATTTAGTCGTCACTCCATTACATAAGACAGAACTATGACAACTTTTGATCGAACCACAGAGATGTCAGCCTTACCAGTGTCGTAGTTAAGATACTGGGAAGAATCGTCAAAAAGTCGATAATGACATGGGTGGGAACCAATAACTTTTTCAACAGCAAAATATGCGGTTGAAGAAAAGGTTTATCTTATGCAACAAATCTCCTTATAACAAGAGAGGGATAGATGGATGCTGTGAACAATGGATAGGCAGTGAATGTTGTTAACATAAACTTCAGCAAATCATTTGATGAGGTGCCAACAAATAGACTGTTTTTGAAACTGGAAAATCTTAGCATTGCCGGACTTCTCCTAAAATGTCTCAAGTATTTCATGGTAGGTCGTAAGGGGAAAGCAAGAGTGAATTCAAAGTGCTTCACCAGGAGACGAGTACTTATTGGAGTATCGCAAGGTTCTGTCCTAAGTCCTTTACTTTCTACAATGTGTGTCAATGAACCTCAACGTATAGTTGAGTCCTTAATGCCATTACACGCTGATGATGTAAAAGCCTGGCGAGAAATAATATAATATGCGGATGCATGCGTACTTCAGGCGGTTTCGAATATTGTAATTAGCTGGTCTAAAGAGTGTCTGAAGCCTATCAATGCGGCAAAGTTTGTCTACATGCATTCTAAGAATACAAAGGTAAATAGATGCAGCATAGACGAAGCGCTTGTACTTGTGGTTCGGTCCCACTTGTGTCATGGGGTGACAGTGGGTCGTGCTCCCAAGACTACGGCTTGGTGAGGACTGACCTTGGTAACTGCACTCAGGCTTCAAGCCCATGTTTGAAATGTGACTTGGACATCCAGAAAAACTATACTGAGCAGCTACCCATGCAATTCCAGAACTCTGGAGTTAACCATACAAAGAGCGGCTTGAAAAGCTAGACCTCTTTACTCTGTCTTATCGCAGATCAAGAGGTTTTCTGGCTTCAATGTATGGGATACTAAGAAGCGATTTCGGACCTAATATATCCTCTCTTTTTCTTCCTATCAGATTGGGACAAATAGAGAACATAGCAGGCGAGTAGGGAGGCCAGGAACAAACAGAATACACGTGGCATACAGGTCTTCACGCCGAGTCATCGATCTGTAGCGTGGCGTCGAGTTGAGATTAACTATGAACACCGCTACCAAGAAACACGTGCCAAATGAATCAGAAGGCGAGGGTTGGACGTAACCAAATAGATCCATAAAATCCCCGAGAAGCCAAATATCAGAAGACAGTTAATGGACCAAGTCGAGGTTTATTAGCTGGCGATCTCGTGGCATCGAAAGGATACCGAGATCGTGCCAGGATACAACCTTGGTTACAGAAGGTAACCGAATTCGCGCGAAGTTACAATCAAAGTGTAAGTAAAAGAATGGAAGCACAAAATAGCTGTCATTAGCACAGTCAAACAAAAGCACGTTAAAACAAACACTGGTACAGTTGGTTATAATAATAATTGTTTTTATTAAACCAGTCGTGTTCTCGTGATAAATGTGTGTCACTACAGATCCCTGGGACCTGTTACTGGAGGTAGTGGTATCCACAGGTTCACTTGACTCATTCAAGAAAACACGGGATACTCACAGAAGCGTACTAGAAAAGAAATAACATCGGCCGTTAGCCCTCTGTTTTTACTGTACAAATCTGAATTGATACAGTGAAGCAAGATGGTGGTTTCTTCCGAAGACGCAGTAATAATAAAGTAGATTCAAGCTTTTGTCCTATTTAGAGCTGAGATCGACGTGGTATGCTTCACTTCTATTCATCATTACTATAATCCTTTTATTGAAAATTTTTTTGTAGAACTTAAGGCACAATATAGACAAAATCACACTTAATAGCACTGAAATGGTAGAAGCATTGGTTTGCTTACAGTCTTTTCACTCACTTACATTCGTCTGTTTGCAATATTTGATATGACAATGCGTAAGATTAGCCAATAACATGTTAACTATCAATCTCCTTGAACGAACATACTTACTTCCAAGGTATTTCAAGTTTTAAGTATCTGTTGAACGTATGCGACTAGGTTAACATCACCAGAGGCTGCCGAAATTCCGGATGCTTCTTCCTTACAATAAATCACGAAATCTGAATAAATTAATGCTGGTGTGACACACAAACAGTGTATATTGAATGACCACCTTTTTAAAGGTCTAAATACTCGACATAAATCTTGTCGATCCTTTTAGTATCTCACTTTTTTGTTCGATGACCTTGCATCTTCGGTTACTTTTCGTATATCATGAAGAAGCCGTGTCGTTCTGACGATCTTCGCGAGAAGTATTTGGAGAGAAATAACAAACAAAACAGCATCCAAAGTACTTTTATGCATTCAGGACATTATCAAACTGCATATAACTGGGAGGATGAAAAGAACAGGACGAAAGACTTTTACGATGATGGAACCTCCACGTTTTTCTGGTATTTCATTTGTGTTTCTTGTTTCTTATAACTAAGGAATACTCATACTGTGTTGTGCTTGTTCATATTTGCATGTATTCTCATCTACGTTGCCTTGCTAGAAAATGGCAATTATTCTTCCGAATACAATATGAAACGGTAAGTTGATTCGAAAGAAGTGATTTCTGTCAAAGTGGTATTAGTGCGGTTATCATGGTATTTGTCTTGTTTGGAGTTTTGCATACACCAGATGGCCCGTTTCTCCGACCACATCCTGGTGAGTTAACTTTTTAACTTTTTTCATTTGTAGACATTCCTTTCAGATTACTTGTCAAACCTGTCTGAATCCAAACTAAAGTATGCTGTGTTATATTTCCTTCAAAATATGTAGTGTTTAATTGAACTTCATGGTGTGTTTGAGTGGATGTAGTCATTGAGTGTTGATCGTCTTTGTGTCTAAAATCGACTAGTGTAATCTTGTTAATGCAGACATCCCACTTTAAGAGTCGAATATCCTCAAGCAACTCGAACATCTCATATATCTACGATAAAATTCAATTAGCGAGTTAGTGCTTGTTCTTTAGAATAAGTGTCTCATTAATAATGGAAATTTACTAGTCCCGATTATTGTACATCTCGTGTATCATTTTTATGAAAACAAGTAGGGATTACGTATGTTCTGGTCATTCATATTGCGTCACTCCTGTATTATGTAGCAAGAGATTCTTATAGATCATAAGCGTTCCAAACATTTCATGAAGTATCACTTGCAAGGTTACCCAGAGTTATGATGATTGTCATCGCTTCTTGAGAGGCGTAATCGAAATGACCCTTGATTCCGGTTCAGTAGTGTATCAGCTTAACCGGGGAATAGCATCTCTGTAACATGACTATCCGGTTTGGGTGAACATGTAGCTGTCATCTTCATTTCCCTCATATACGTGAAATTAACCTGCTAACAAAATGTCTTGCTAAGTCGGGTGTTGTTATAAGATTGCATTTTTACAAGGCAATCATTTCGTAACACGTTCCGGATCCGACCTCAAAATGACAGAGCTACAAAGTTTGTCAATAAGTTTATAGACTGCGAGTGTTGACTATGTTAATGAAACGCTTTGCATAGACTACTCATCATCGATATGAGACTTAGCATGAATGTGTGTCTTCACAGATTACCACTTCTTGTATCAACAGATTGGTTGAAATATTTACAAAATAAAAAGAGGCAAGTAATGAACATACAGTTGTTTGTTGACCAGTTATATGTAACTTTGGTACACAGGATCTTGTCTAATTTCATAAATATATCCTGCACTGGTGTAGTATCTAGATAGTGTAAAGTCTATTAATGATGATTTGATATACAAATGAGAAGCTTGCACATCATTCTATGGGTTATGCCTCAACATATTTTAGAAGCACCTGGTACGCTTTTCAAATAATTTTAAATAAAATTAAAAAAACGGAAGTAGTGGTAAGCTAGTTTAAAATTACACAACCATATTAAGTTTTCTGTCACGATTTGGACTCATTTTAAGCCATGACTACTCAGGTTGCTCGGTAATGCTTTACATCTATAACACGAGCAAGCATCAAACAATTCTGTACATAACATCAAGAAATGATCAAATGACATAAACATACACTCTATCTCACCCTTATCGATCCCAACCCTTTCCCGGTCTTTTGTATCAGTCAGCTTTAAAAGCTGTGGAAGGTGGTCAGTAAAAATGAATTTCATGACTTGTGGACCTCTCTTTGCGGGTTCAAAGCTTTGTACACTAATTATAATTGAGTTCATCTTACTCAACCCGGTAGTCCTAACATATAAATATTTCGTAAAATTTGTGCTAAAATATCTGTGACTTGACATTAGCTTTCGTTGTCGTCTTTTCACTAGCGGCAAGTGCTAGAAAGATGTTATCACTATCACAGACAACTTTTATTTGGTTGACAAATAACCAAAGCTTAAACAAGTATAAATTTGGCCTTTCAGAGTGTTATTTTCACTTTCAAATATTTTGTCCCGTTTTCTAATTATTATTATCGGCGATAATCCTGCCTATCGTCCTTTGCACTTTCCGTAATTTAGTGGGCACATGGATGGCGTTTTCAAATAGATATTCGAGTGTATCACAAAGCCAATGAAATTTAGAAGAGTTTTGATGATGGGGAATAATATCTTTAGAACCGGATAGTGTCACCGTCCCCCACACAAAGTGTAGCTAAAAGCCGAGCACATAATTCTGCACTTAGTATATAACCTATAGATGGGGTAACTGCTTTTGATATTTTCAGATTCTTTCAGATGAGTCTTAGTAAATACTAATTTGACGTTTGTACTAAGACTAATTTGACGTTTCCCGACCGAAGCTGCTACCTTGACGCGGTGGTCGGGCTTGCCTATCGTGATGACCCAACCGAGCTATATTGACTGGAATATATGTTCCTGTAGGTTCTACCATGCCAGGCAGGTCGATTGGAGAACGGTAAGACTAAAAGCAGCAACTCAAGGTCTGAGGGCGAAGTCGTACTGCTGACTGTAGAGAGGTGTGACAGCAGTAAGGTGTTTCCCTCGGACAACCAGCATCTGCAGCGATGCTGCCTTCCCACAAGGAGGGGTGGGGTTAGAAAAGTTCGACCCTAAAAATGTCACACCTCACCTTACCTCACGGATTTCCGTCTCCGGCGGCAAGGCCTTTTGAAGAACGGAGCTAACACGTCAAAAACCTTCCACAAAAAGGCCGTGCGCGACCGGCCTCAAGCAGTTGTCCCTTGGGCTCTGCGGTCACGCTCCCAGGTCGTCAAGACCAACACTAATCCAATTTCCTTTTCAGGTTCCTCAAGAAATACCCTTCCACGGTGTGGGCAGCCGGGAAGTGACATCAGCCCTCATACCCGTAACAGCACACGAATTTGACGTTTTACGAACGATAATAAAGCACTGACCCTTCTGCTAACAGACACTTATAATTCAAAACTCTCTAAGTTTCGCCACTTTTGTTAAACAGCCTCCGGTGTCTAAAATGACCTAGACACAAGGGTTTCCGACAGCTTAATAATTGTTGCTTGTTCACTAGTGAGTCCTAGTTCATATAATTATCAAAGTCGGATATAAGATCCTTGTGGGGATTCTGCGTTCTTTAAGACGTGTCTAAATTGATTTCAACTTCTGAAATTAAGACATACATGTTTTATAACTCTCCTTTGCTCAGCCTCTAAAATTTGTAAAACATTAGTCGCATTACCAATGTTACTGGAAATATTTTGGTAGTGCCTTGATTGGTGCCTATGTATAATCTGTGTATGAAATATGTTCAACACACATAATTTACATGTTATATCGTTTCATCAGTTATAATTTTACCTTTTTTTCAGCATTTTGGCGCTTTATACTCTGTCTTAGCATTTTATATGAGCTTATACTAGTCTTCCTGTTATTTCAAGTAAGTAGTATGAAGTGGATTCCAGTTTTACTAGTTTTGAACGATATTTAAATGCGAACCATTTACTAACAAATATCAATTGCCCAGTGCTTGTATTGAGTTGCTTATACTCAATTCGGTGCGCAGCTACTGCTCTAAATATTTATTTATAAACTTGTTTTCCCAAGCATCAGATCACTTTTGTTTATCGTGTTTGGGGAAGGAAAGCCTTAATTGATCAACATTTTACCTTCTAAACTTGTGCACGAATTTCAATATTTATGCGGATTCCTATTTCTTTTCATCACTAGGTTGATTAAATGACGAATTTTATTTCGAACTCAGTTTATTACTGTGTGGTACTTAAAAAAATGCTGATTTATATTCCTCCGGCTTCATATAACTGAAATGATAAAATGTCCGTCTAAGAGTTGTACTCTTGTCATGAAAAATACACTAAAACTATCATTGGTCGTTTGGATGGCTAAGGCGATAATTAATTACATGTGTTATTTGAGATATGGTCCTCAAAATACAGAGGAATATATGTCAACAGATAATGATTTACCACTAACTAATCCTTTCTAAATGGATTATAAGCTTACAAAATGTTAAAAAGTCGTATAATAACTCTTTTAAGTGCAAGGTTTCCCACTGATCACTTTATTTAAGCACAAAATATTTGATCAAATTTCGAGCCGTCATATGAAAGGGATGTTTTTTGTCAAAAAGATAAGTTTTACACTGAAAAATCAAAACTTATTTATTAACAACAAGCTATGAACAACGGTAAGTAACTTTTGGGGTAAAAATGACCAGTAAGACAAAAGGCGACACAATCCAATTTTTATTACTACACGTCTGCAAGATATGTCCAACGAAACTTAAAAACGTATTTGGAATGGAACTGTTTAATCATATCAGTCTTTGAAGGATTCCTCACGTTTGGTTGGAACATCAAATGAGTAATGGTAAGGTTTATGCTTAGGATATTTGATGAAAAGAAGAAGAGAGTTGTTAAGGCTATCAATCTTCACCAACCGTGGAAATGCATCCGCGTGACTGATCTGTGCTTTCGATTTTTCCACCCTTTAGGAAATAAAGAAGTGGTATTACCCTTTGCTTGCACAAAGATTAGCCTGTCTGGTTCAGGGGTTTCGATTTCAAAGGTGTCCAGCAGAACATCAGGAGGTATTCTGTGTTGAGTCTCGTTGCTGGAGGTCGAAGTTACTTTCAGTTGGATAGCATGACGCACCCAAACTTTTGAGCCAACTGACACTTCTTTTGCACGACTCAACCAGCTATCCATGTAGAGTGTTTGCCACGATAGTCCATAACAAATACACTTTAATCCAGGGTGAACAATCTTCTTTGCACCTCATGATGTCGATTGAATTGCTTTCCCATCAATCTGTTTCGTCGAGGCTCAAAAGCTGGCGTCGGATGAATGGCGTCAAAGTGTGGTCGTATTATTCTGCCAAGTAAAGCTTCTGGTGGAGAGACCCTATAAATTGTTTGAGGATTTGGCACAAAACGATAGATAAGTAGGGACCTCTCTCTCCGGTTGTCCCCTTCTCTTTTGATTTCTTCAGTGCATTTATAAGTGTACCAACAAGGCGTTCTACTTGGCCATTGAATTGAAGATGGAATGGAGGTGTTCGGCATAATTGATCCTGTTCCACCAACGAAATTCTAAGAAGATAGCAGACGTAAACTGTGTTCCATTGTCTCTAGCTATTAATACTGGGACCTCGAAACGACTTATTAGTTGACGTAATTTTTTTATTGTGGAGCTTGCAGTTCGATGTTCCATGAGAAGAATTTCTGGCCACTTGCTGTATGTACCAACTACCAAAAGGTAAATATGTCCATGAAGTAAGCCAGCGAAGTCTAAGTTGCTACAGTGACTGTGGTATTGACCATGGTTGCAGCTATGTTTTCCTTGGTACTTTTGTTGCTAACGTGTATGTGGTACACGAACGGAATAGCTGCTTCAGTCGAGTGTGTAAGTGCGACCAGTAAACATAACTTCGTGCTAGTGCTTTCATGAAATTTGTTCCAGTTTGTTCTGTGTGCAACTGTTCAAGCACTGCTGGTTGCATCTTCTTTGGGATTATGACACGTTCGACAAACAGAAGCCAGTCATCGATGATTGAAATGGTCTGCGCCGGTAAAACTGCTGAAGTTCTGTGGGCTGATCTTCAATTGCCACCCTTATATGTGGAACTATTTAACTTCTTATAAGGCTGGGTCAACACTATGGAAGCTTCTTTGACACTACGCCATACCTGAAAGGATAGTCAATATCATAAGGAATTCCTATGATGGATTAAACTGCAAGATCGTGCATGGAGTACAGCTCACAGACTCGTTCGAAGTAAAGACCGGTGTCCGCCAAGATTGCTTACTCTCACTCTTTCTCTTTCTCCTGCTGATCTACTCTACTGGATTATGAAGACGTCAACATCTGGGGGGAAGCACGGGATACAATGTATGTCTAGGATGCAGTTGGACGATCTAGACTTCGCAGATGATCTGGCCCTCCTATCGCAATCGCAACAACAAATGCAGGAGGAAACGACCAGTGTAGCAGCAGTCTCAACAGCAGTAGGTCTCAACATACACAAAGAAAAAAGCAAGATTCTCCGATACAACACAGCATGCACCAATCCAATCACAATTGACGGAGAAGACACGGGAGATGTAAAAACCTTTTCATATCTGGGCAGTATCATTGATGAACACGGTGGGTTTGATGCAGATTTGAAGGCGCGGATCGGCAAAGTAAGAGCAGCATATCTACAACTGAAGAACATCTGGAACTCAAAGCAACTGTCAACCAACACCAAGGTCAGGATTTTCAATACAAATGTCAAGACAGTTCTACTGTATGGGGCGGAAACCTGGAGAACCACGAAAATTATCATCCAGAAGATACAGGTGTTTATTAACAGTTGTCTACGCAAAATACTTCGGATCCGTTGGCCAGACACTATTAGCAACAACCTACTATGGGAGAGAACGAACCAGATCTCAGTTGAGGAAGAAATCAGGAAGAAGCGCTGGAAGTGGATAGGATACACATTGAGGAAGGCACCCAGATGTATCACAAGGCAAGCCCTCACATGGAATCCTGAAGGCCAAAGGAGGAGAGGAAGGCAAAAGAACACATTACATCGAGAAATGGAGACAGACATGAGAAGAGTGAACAAAAATTGGATAAAACTGTAAAGAAAGGCCCAGGACATAGTGGAATGGAGAATGCTGGTCGGCGGCCTATGCCCAATTGGGAGTAACAGGCGTAAGTATGACTGGGTGTGGAGAAGCTTTTTTCTCTGACTTCATTTGATGACAATCAAGTGTTTTAAATGACCTCTGCTACTACACACCTTATTTCTGGATCTACTATTGAGACAGTGATCATGTCCTCCTGTCCAGGGTGTTGATATCTAATTATTCGAGAGAGAGCGTCAGCTTGACTGAAGTATTTGTTGACTGACACTTGATATTGAGGTCATAACTCGGGAGGATTGTCGCTCAGAGCTGTAGTCTGTTAGCCGTATAAACGAGGATTCCTTTCTTAGAAAAAATGGCAATTGAAGATTTGTGGTCTGTCAGTAGGGTAAGCATACGGCCATAAAGCATCTTATTTAATCCTTTAACAACAAAATTGATTATAAGGGCTTCTTTTTCAATTCGGCTGTAGTTCCGTCCAACAGGGTTGAGCGATCTAGCAGCATGAGCAATTGGCTGCTCTGACTTGTTCGGAAACACGTGAGATATCACTGCTCCAACTACATTACTAGGGGCAACAACAATTCCCAAACTGGGATCGAAGTGTGTTAAAAGAAGCTTTGAGCTGAGCATTGATTTGACTTTGTCGTAAGATGCTTGACATCATGCTAACCACTGCCAAGGTTTGTCTTTTGATAGTATTTCATTCAGGCGACATCTCATTTGGTGCATTTCAAGCAGAAATGTGCAGTAATGACTAAGTAATCCAAGGAAGGATCTTAATGAAGCGACATCAGTTGGTGCAGGCACCTTCTGAATGGCTTCTGTGTTGGCGACCGTTCTTATCTAAGATGAAACCAAGGTATTTGATCGAATGGACGATAAAGATACAGTTTCCTTCACGTAGTTGGAAACCATACTCCATCACTCAGTTGAGAACTTGATTTAGTCGATCAGAAAGTTCACTGCCATAACTATGATATCATCTAGATAAGCTACTGTTCCAGGTATACCTGTTAATATCTTATCTATCAGTTGCTGAAAAATGGCAGGTGCGGTCTTGATACCGAATAATGGGCGGTTATATTGATATAACCCTCGACGAGTTTTGATAGTAAGAAGCTATCTACAATCATCATCTACTTCCACTTGCACATATATATCGGAGAAGTCTATTTTCTCGAAACGTGTCCCACCGTTAAGCTTAGCAAACAGGTTTTCAGGAACTGGTAACGAATACTGATATACTTCCAATGCAGCGCTTAAACCGGTTGAGAAATCGGCACATATGCTTATAGTTCCGTTGGCCTTCTTAATCACTACGATCAGTGCGGCACATACAGAGTAGTTAAGTGGTTGGATTACAACAGCTTGTTGTAAAACATTTAACTAGTTCAAGAGCAGCATACGGTACAGGACGTCTCGAGTGAGAAACCTGTTTGGTATCTGATTTCATTGGTAAATGAGCTTTCATCTTGGTGCAGTGACCAAGGCTATTCCAAAAAAAAACAGGCAAAATTTCTTTTCAGCTTTTCTAACAACCTTTACCTATCTTTTTGCAAGATGATGAGCACAACACGTTGTAGACACTGTTAGTGAGTATATCCATTCTTCCGGGTTTTTCTAGCATACCTAAATTAAGATCAAGGTTCGACCGTTCTGTTAGCATATTCATTTACAGTTAGCTCCATTAAAGGAAAATTCACACTGTGATTCGCCAACCAGTTTTAGCACTCTCCATAGATGGTTTCATTAGCGGTTTCCCAAACAGGTTATACGTTTTTCTAGACACTAAGGTAATATCGGATGCTGTGTCAATTTGAAGAAGACTTCATATACCGTTAATTTGGATAGCAACATACTTTCTCCGAATTTCATGGTCTGTTTGGTAAACTCCTACCTGAGAAAGAGCTTTGTATTCGGCTGGTTTCACCACGTGTTGAGGACGTTCATGTTTCTTGGGTTGGGCCGTACGATTCACTGAACAATGACCTTTATGTTCACGTCTGTTGCACACCTGACATTTAGACTTCTTAAATGGGCAGAATCGTACGTAATGCCAATCACTACATAACCAATAGGCAATCATTGGTTTGTTAGAAGTTGTTATCGGTTTCTGAGCATTTAACCTAGTAATAGCGTTGACACTACTGCAGGTTAAACTCGGATTTACCTGTTCACTTAACTCATTGTCGTGTCTGATGTTTTGTAGCCGTTTACTCTTATCTTTCAATGTACTGTGTGTGACGTTTACATCTTGATCCCGTCAAGTTCAAGGTCTATTCGTGATCTCAGCACCTTTGGTGACTGAAGAGCTGTAATGGATATTAGGCATTTAGATAGGTCTTCTGTCAATGAGCGTAACTTGAACCATTCGCACTCTCTGTTGACGACGTCTGCTAGAGCACCAAATTCATCAGCTTCGTGTTTCACCAAATTTGGACACTGATATCGAATACTAAACAGTGATGAGGATTCACCGAATGTGTCTGACAATTAAGTTACCATTTCTTCGAAACTGATCTCTCGAGGTAGATTCGGCAATATATGGTCAGTATACCGTGCATTTTCATTGCTTTCCAATGTATGCATCAACAATCCAATCTTCCACGCGACATCTTGTTTTCAGAATCCTATTCTAAATGTATCTTCTTAACGCTTGAACCACGTGAGCAAGGTATTCCGACTTTGGGGATTATAGTTGAACTTTGAGATACTGCTGGCTACTGCATCAAAAGAAGTATTTGGAATGGCGTCTGAACTCGAGCAGTGGATGTTAAGCTATTTTGTCAGTCTCCAACAACCACATTGTGCTTACTGTTGTAATATTCGGTTGAGCTGGTTATCTGATATCGGTATCGTGAATGTGTTTTCCTTTTTTCCTCGTCGTTATGATTTCTGGTATTACGACCCGTTCACTCTTATTGTTTAGTATTCTTGGACACTACTTCACTCGAAAATTCCTCAAATCAAAACACGGTTTAACAGGAACGAAATTATATTGCAAATAACGAGGGTAGATGGAAGTAGTAATCACAATAAGATAAACATTAGTATATTTATAATTTCTACATAAGATTCCAGAGACTTCTCCAAATCTGCTAGCGCCGATTGGTTAGGAAATAGCTAATCAGGTTGCCCCAACATATTTCTGCACGGAACATGCTTTAAACCCGCTAACAATATGCTTCACTGTTCAAGTGATAAAAATAAAACCCATATCTGAATTATTTCCCTGGGCTACTACTCAATTTTAACTCACTCATTTGATTTGCCATCAATAAAAGTATACCAACCGGAAATTATTATTTCACGGTTACTTGGGATATTGGTAAAGCGCAGCTGAAACGTAATTATAATCGTTTTATATTTTATCGAATGAGATTATTCAAACGTATTTGAATAACTTGATGTCGGTGGGTAAAATCGCTCACAAATAAGTGCAAATAATACACTGATCTCCTTTTTGATATTTTCGATCGTTTAATACTGGTTTTAAGCTTTTTATTATGGTGATTTGGTTGTCGATTTTGGATCTTATCACTGGGGAAAAGATGTCAACTAGTATGAATTAAATTTGACTTGATGGATCGTTAGTGGTTACTTCTTTCTGGTTATCATTCCCAAAGTTCGTTTATATTACTTGTATATACATACCCTTAGAAATTGTTCCTTCATTCAATTGTTTGCTCTCTATTATAATTTTGACTGTTGTGTCTCATGTCATGGTTTTCGCTGTTGTATACTGTTTTTACATTATTCCATTATATAGAGTGTAGACGATGCTCGTCAGTGGTTACGTTACTTAGACTCAGAGCTTGGTAAACCTTTGGAAGAAAAGGATTATGGTGGGAATTGCCGAATATACGATTGGGATAAACCAGACAATCCATGGCACAATGTCATCGTCAGTATTTAACGTGTTACATATATTGCCAATTTTTTATAACCTATGGGTTCGTCTTTTTGTATGCTCACGTATGTATATGTCATATATGTGTTAAGGCTAATCACATGCATCCTTCCAAGTTTTTTTGTATGAATTTTTATGCACAGAAATATATAAGTTAGTTTCAGATCAATATTACAATAGTGGGCCAGTATGCACTATAATAGGGTTTCAGGGCTTCGCTGATTAGAAAAAAAAACACTATTTAGTATACAGGGAAATGTATATATGTATTAATGTATGTGTAGTATGTATAGTCTATTAATTGTTGTTTGTGTCAGTCTGTCCAACACAATCTGTCGTTTGAACAGAATTACTTTGATTGATGATTAGGTGTTGCTTATCTTTGTGATATTTTTGTAGTATAATTTTTAGTTGTAGTAGTGTAATGAATGAGAACATAGGTGGGGTAAACCGGGATATCTTGGTAAAATATAGAGAACGTACACTGAATACTTCGTTTGCAAATTTCCATCACTTGTCCTTCACATTCTGTATGATTCCTCAGTTCCTAATTCCTTTCTATCTTCCCCTCTATTCTCTCCAACTTGATTTTCTTAGCCTTCTGCTGCCAGGATTTTCACTTTCGATCGGTATTACATACTACTTATGTCTGTCGACATAAGTGGCATATACCACATTAGCAGTAATGGTGTTTGCCATTATTAATGAATAAGTACGTCACATTGTAAGCTGCAGACACTGGAAAAGTGCATAAACATTCAATTTATTAAACATACTTCTTGTTTGGAATAAATAATTAATATATAAGCTTTGATTTCTCGTTAGTTATTGTCGTTCACTTTAAAGCTTTGGACTCGATTCTGTGAGCTCTGGGGTTTTTACATTGTTAATGAATATCACATTGAGGGATCTATTCTAATATCCCCTAGTTTTCAATGGTCCTACTGTTGTCAGAGTAGAACAGAAACTACTTTTCCTTTCGAGCTATTAAAATCTCTTAACAAAACGCCCTATGAAATCCTTTTTTAATGCTAAAAATCTCATATATGAAAAGCTTCATCGTAAATAGGAATCTTACTTCAATTGAATCGATTTGTCCTTATACTATAACTTCACAGTCCTTGTCATAATTTGACTGACATCCAATTAATGTGGAGTATGGCCAATTTTGGTAACTATGCCAACTTTATCATAACTAGGTGTAGACATTGCATGAAAATTAGGTATGCCTATATATATCTATCGGCTTTTCAATTCAATTTGTTTCATCACGTAAACAGACTTTTGTTCTTATCAATATTGGTATGCAAAGATACGTTTGAAGAAAATAACAAATGATCAGTGCTACTCTTGCAATAAAAATTGAGATGATGCTTTGTGTATTTCAAAAGTCCTGAAAAATTCTTTTCGTTCATCAAACATTTATGAGCTTTATTATTTCCAATTTAACACTAAACTGAATCAATTGTCAATAGTTAATGCGTGTTAATTGATGAGAAAATCAGGTGATTTTTAGTTTATTTCAAAAAGTTAATTCCAACTACCTATTTATTCACATTTTTGTGTTATCTCTGTTGTACATACCAGTATACTAGTAATATGTGCCTAAATCACATACTGAGATCTGATTGATACAAACACACACTTTGTGTAAATAGCAGTAATAGTAATTGGTCGCTTAAGCATTTGTCTATTGGTTCTTTGAGACTTCTTGTTAATCAGTACTCATAACTTTAAAGTTAAACAGTTGTCCTGTAATTGTCCTTAGAAAAAGTCAGTTCGTGTTTAAGATACATGACTAAAGATTAAGTAAATCTTTATTTTTGCTTTAGTGTTTAATCCCTGAACTGGTATAATCAAAATAGATAGTATGAATCTAAAAAAGTTGTTCAATACATCTTAATCATAAACTTTTTAAATTATTAAATCATAAAATTGTGTTCTTTTACGTTGTAAATTATTTTTAGGAAACTATTAATAGTTTTTATAGTCTGAAAGTAAAGAGTGATGCTGATATTCCAAACATGTAGTCTTTAGTGATCTTTGATGTATTCCCCTCTGCTTTTTTTTGTAGTAATTTGTTTTTTGCTTTCATAGTTCTTATCGTTTTAATTTTCTCATCACGGTTTTGTACCGTTATACAATTATGCCTATTCTATGTTATTATTTATGGGATTCCAATTAACATTTAGATTGCTCATATATTTGTAAATCTTTGTTGGTATCATAAATTTATTCACACACAAAAAACAATGAAATGGTCATATGCTCAAATGTAATGTATGCTACTTTTCACTTACCCCATGATTTGTGAAGAAGTAAACTTGCTGAGTAATTATGAGAAAAGATTGCTAAAAGACACGAACATGTCTTTCCATGTATAGAATTACACTTACAAATTCAAACAAATAAAAATACAAATAATAAAATAGAAGTAAGAATCAAATAAACGTTTGATTAGTGTTACTTCTCATTTGACGCTCATAAACGATAGATATATACATCACACTTTGTCAAAGCAGATATATCGGTTTATGGAATGTAAGTTGGAATCAGTAGCATAGTATAGCATGATAGTGAATACATATTGAAATAAACTATATAGTCCCATAAATACAGTACCATACTTTTTTGTTGTGAACTGAAAACATTGAATTCATGATTGCTGGACGGTAAACGTTACTAAATAAAATTTATTCCTTTGTATCTTCATACTGTTGGCTAGACTTCTAAATTCATGCACTTAATCAACTTCTCCATCTGTCAGCTTCCAAGTATGATAATTGCGTTTGGTGTTTTCTTAGCTTCTACTTTTAATTGTTGATGTGTCATCTATAGATTTTTAGTTTCTTCCTTGTCTTGGACTTGCAAATCTGTTTTATTATTGAAGCTTTCAGGACAAGTATTTATTTGAAAAAAAAATTATTATTTGTCTTTTCATGGTAAACGTGTAGGTTGGTCAATACATACCTTTTGAGTTGTTAAGAAATTGTTTGCAGTTTACGGGTGTTTCGATTCAATTCAGTTTGAATGAAACAGTTCTGCTGATTTTCTGATATGGTTGTATGGTCAATTTACGATCAATATTTTTTCTATAATGCAAATATTTCTACATTTTCTTTTAATTATATACCGTTTTACAAAAGTTATCCAATAATATTTGCTTAATATCATATAATTATTGTTATTTATTATATTTAACGGTAGAATCTATTTTTTTCTATTTATGACAGATGCAAAATTTTTTACTTATTATTTTATGAAAAGTGATTACTGACTTACCGATATATATTATGCATAGTAATAATGATAATAATTCATCATTATGTAAGCCTTATTTATATATACTTATCCAACAACAACAACAACAACAACAACAAAAATGTACTTGCGTACGTGACTCTTCAAGTCAACATGATAATACTAGTAGTTTTTATTGTTTCAGGAAAAAAGATATTTAATCTATTAGAATGATTAATAAATTTTTTATTGCAAATAAGAATTAATTTACTTGTATATATCAAGTGGGTTACTGATTGTTTATATCTAGTTTAAATTCTTTTAATTCTTAATGCTACTGTAAAAATTATCTTGTGTAAATTTCATAATCAAGCTGTGCTCATTAGTTGTACACTTAGTTTGTGTTTAAATACGAAAATAATAAAACAAAGAAAACACGTCTAACCATTTGTCTAGATCTTATTTTTTTACCAGATTACATACAGCATAAAACATTTAGCTTCATTTTTCACCATACCAACCGGATGAGTTTAATAGTAGAAAGAGAAAAGGCAGCCCAACTATTCCAGACAGTACTGCGGTATAATATTAGAAAGGTGTACCTCACACAAAACTCATCTTCAAGGATACTACTTTCTACAGAGAGAGAAAAGGTTAACCCTTAAAATACACGTGCTCCGTTTCTTCATGGATTTTCGGAGTAGGAGATTAAGTCCAAATATTACGTAGTTGATGCAGCCAAATATATTTACAAAAGGGTTGTGTGTGATTAGCGTCAGGCGTATGCGTTCTGGCCTCTTGTCACATTAATCACCATCGGAATAAGAAATGGCGCTTCACAACTAGTCTCCTTTTATGTTAGGTGTAATCGTATGGGATAAAATTATCGATATTATCATTAATTTTATTTCACTATTCTAAATCACTAGTATACTAGCAACTGATGAATTCTTAAGATAATTACGGCTTTTATCAAATTATCCAGCTTGTAATACATTTTTGATCCAATATCTTTTACTCACTATATGAGTGTGTATTTTTACAATAACATGATGTGTAACAGATATTTATCGACTGTCTTGATAAAACACATTTGATCTCAAATAGTTTTTTTTCTGGAAATCTAGTCAAAAATGGATGGTTTCGTGACAGTTCATTTTGTTGGCTGGTGGGCTAAAACATTAATCCTCCGAGATTATTGGATATGCAACGTCTTAAGTTTTGCTTTTGAAGTATTAGAATACTCATTAGAGCATCAGTTGCCAAATTTCTCAGAATGTTGGTGGGACCATGTAAGTTCGGATTTTGAATTATTACTCTTATTTTAAGCATCGATATATATACAACAAAAAGTCCGTGCTATTTCAAAAAATATAATTTGGGTTTATTTTGTAATTAACTATAAATTAACATATTTAAATTCTACCGTAAATAGTTTTTTGGAACGACTGATCATTAAGGATATTTCATCTTCAATAGAAACAGCGCACTTATTAACTGCCATCGATTTTTTGATTTAGTCCTGCCTACTACTATTGTCATAAATTATTATGCCTATGATTCTGTGTTTTATTAGACTCTGTGTGTCATTGTTATTACCTGACAATTCGATTCGCTTCCTAACACTTAAAATGACCGGTTATTAAGTAGTATGGCGATTAAAAATCTTTCTTTAATGCCGAAATTAAACAGTAATCTTTGACGAGTTTCTTTCTCTGGGCTGGATAGTTCATTTGTGAGTGAAGGTCTGCCTTTATTTGCCTATCAGTTAGAAAAGATGAAAAAAACAAATGGCTTATGAATCATGGTATAAAATTCGCTGTTCATAATTTATTAACGGATGTTACGAAATGTATAGTCCCTCGGTAATAATATTTCTCTCACATGTTGTTCAAGTACTTTGATCATTGAGTATTACAAAGCTGTGATGTGATTAGGGTTTTCCTCGATATTATTTTTGACAAATCAGACATCTGACGTTACAGGGAAGTGTATGCGAATCACTTTACCGAATCTAACTTATTTCTAAATGTAATTATCTAAATTAACTCAGTGGTCAAGTCCTTAAATGTTTTAAATACTAACAGTTTATATGAAAAGATGGATAGTAGTTATCAGTGGAATCTAGGATGCGCATTTCGTTTTGTTTGGGACTCGTCAGCTGGATGTACCTGCACATCCGAGTTGATGTTCACTCCGGGACTCGAACCCAGTGCCATTTGCTCCAAACGCATCGTGTTATCCATTTAGCTACTGAGCCCTGATAACCAATAGCTTGTGCGATGGCGTGAAGTTTAATTCATTTTTGTATCGGTTGCTTGAATCTTCCGATCGATGTTTAGTATTGCGATATATATATATATATATATATATATATATATATATATATATATCTTTAATTCACGTATATATACATGATTTGAGCATTTGACCTACAAGTTTTCCTGACGTAGGGTTTTGGATAATGTTCGCTTCATTTGTCTGTAATTACGTTTCGAACTTGATTTTCAGTCATTAAATCATAATTCCAGTCTTGGCAGTCTGATAACGTATGAAGTTATCAACAGTAAATATAATTCAACACGAGATACGCTATCTGAAAACGAGTGTTGAATTGATGTAGCGTTAGGACATATTTGCCAATAAATACGTATTTCATTCATTCAGTTCCTTGTCTAATTACCCACACAGAGTGTATGATTTCTTTTGCTCATACTACTACCTCGACCTGCCTTAATTAACACATTTCTTTTAAATCGTTTATCTCAATCCTTGACTACAAGTGTGTAATACATGTTTTAGTTTCAAATTTAATCCTCATCTATGAATGTTATCCAATTTGTGATTGTGAGTGCTTGAAGCACTTCATAAAATGTTTACTTGTTATTACAAGAACTATAAAACATTTCTTGATTTTTTCCAGTTACTAGTTTGCTTTTTTCACGTTATATTTATGTTCTCACTTTTCTTTTAACAATATAAAAAAATACAGTGGGTCATGGATTTTCTAGGTTGCAACCTTCTCGGAATTTGGTTAGGCATGAAAACAATCAATTATTTAAGCATGAAACCGTATCATTGGCGAGGCATGTGGAATATCCCCAGTTACAGGTCATTTTTATTTATTCTGATTTTATTATTGAACTACATTAAACCTGATTTATCGTCCCTTTCTCTCGAAGTTCACAACACTGCTAAATTTAACAATTAAAATTTGTTCGTTCTTTTGTGGGGAAGAGGCGATTCAGCGTGATCATCGCCTCGCACCAAAAACTAACTGAAGCTGGGAATATTAATATTCGGTCTCGGAGTACCATTAAGCTCTCGGGTTCAATCCCTGGCAAATTCGACTGTGAGAACTGTTGAAGAGTTCTAAAATAGGGTGAATTAGTTATTAGTGCATCTTGGTTTTCGATGATTCAGCATCTGAAACCCGTGTCAAAAACTGTCTGAACAGTCAAGATTAATATTATTAATGGCTTTATTCAATATTATATTTTTGGTACAATATAGAATTCTCAGCTAACTTTGAAAAATCGGATTTTTAAACTTCAACTCGTGAAGTTTTTTTTCGATCTTGCCATTGATTAGAATTGTTATTTTCGAATTTGACTATGTATTTAAAAGATTTATTTATGTGCACCGTCGTTTTCGGCAATTCTAACAACGACTTTGGCGTACTGGCCTATAAATCTTTGCATATCCCGTAGCTCTTACTGTTAACTAGCTCTTCCCTATCAAAACATCAGCATGTAATTTAGTGCAACTCAAGGTATAATAGTTCAAATGTGGGTCATTTTTGTGTGTGTTCAGTATAAATCCCTGGTTATATTAGATATTTTTTCGCGTTTTATCAGTTCCATTCAATTAATCAGTCTGTCAGTTGTACGCAACGTAGAATCTCACACATATGCATCAGTTCAAGTTGCCATACCACATTAGCACAGCAAGATGAAAACATTTCAAGACAAGGCCCAGAAAGGTCAGAGCAGTAACAGTATCAGTAGTAGTAGAAAAGATGAGGTACAAAAAAAGGAAACAAAGATATAACGAGATTCAGATCCTAAATGAAAAGTAGTAAATGTACCCACGGTATTGTGAATGATTCTGACCCAAGTCACCCCTAGCTTTTCTGCAACCACCGTCAAGGTATGCGGTGGATAAACATACGTAACACATGTCCTGACCAACTAAGTTGGTAAACACTTACCACCTCATCAATCGATTTGGTATGTTTGCCTAGTGCCCTATGCCTAACCTCAGGACCGGTCACTCGGTCGCAAAATAGACGACCGATGCTTCGAAGACACTTTTGATCAAATAATAATAGCCTGCGAATATCCTCTACTCTTTATGACCATGTTTCACGTCCATAAAGTAGAACAGAGCGAACTAATACACAATAAACTCAGCCTTAGGTTAGGAAATGGATGTTCCGCTTAAACCAATAGCAAGGTGTACCTATAATGTTCAGGAAACTGATGCTCCTGTTTATATCTACCTGGTTACATATACCCAGTTTTATAAGAAATAGTTTTCAAGTTTGAACATTTTCCTAGTCACCGGACTCATCTGGGTTCGTTATTTCCTTTTCCTAAAATTCATAAAGTGAGTGTTTGAAAGTACTTTGACATCTCGCTAACTTGATGTGAAATTTCGCACTTATTTTTCTCTGTAACTACTGTTTCTTTCACAAAGTAATTAGGATGAAATAAAACAAAATATAATCTACTGATGATGTATCGAAAACCTACTGTTACCCAGATCAAATGATTAAGAAAATATTTTTAGATCACCTAGTGACGCTGCTTGGAAATGTGTTTTATAGTCTGTTTTTTGGAAAAGATATAGGATCAAAGCAGACAACATTTTGGCTTAGTTGCTAGGACTCTAGAGTGAGAGCAGAATATTCCCCGACGATTCATTTACTGAGTAATTCTGAATTAGTTTAATTGACTAGCGCCGAAAATTATTGTTATGCGATTCGGTAACTTAATGACTATAATTCCATTCATCTCTCTACATTACCTTATACAGAGGCAAACTTCGTAGAGTTATGTTGCAGTTTACCCCTCGTCGATGGACTGATTTCGATTGGCGTCCGACTGGAAGTCTAAAGAGATGGTTAGGGACTTTGGTTCTTGCGATTGCAGTAAGTATTGTGGTTTTTTGAATGTTATACTATAATCATTGTTGTTTTGCGTCAAATTATCATCACTTATCCGTCTATAGCAATAAATTTACGACTAAAACACGATCTCTTTAGTGGTCATCTATTTTTGTCGATTATATCAACATTATAAAAACACAATTTTGATATACAGTCGCTATTTTTTTTAACCAACTACTTTACTTTTTTACTAAAACAATATTACTTCTTATCCATGGAATAACTTGTTCTGAATATTGCTAAATTTCATCAGTTAGGACAAAATACATTAAATCATCGAAACGATATGACTATTAGTTTAAATCTTGTCATGACCTCTGTCCAAACACAGAACCAGACTAAACCAAACAAAGGAGCCACAGTATGACAACTACCACAGTGAAGTAATGTAAAGTTCCCTGCAGACAGTTCATTCTTATCTTTTGAACTTAATTACGGTAGTCAGTCAGTCAGTAACAACGTAGAACTCCGTACGTATGTACATCAGTTCGAGTTGCCACACCACATTAGCACGCAGATGTAGTGGTCGATTCAAATCCCGTAGTGGTAGAGGTAATAAGAGTATAAGCAGTAATCGGAAAGATTAGGATTTGAAGATGTTATTCAAGGAGTATAATACAGTGAAATAAATTTGGGAAGAGAAAAAAAAAGAGACAAGGAGGAATAAAGAGATCAAAGTTTGGGAGAACACAAAGAGTGGATGCACCTGCGCCATTGCAAACAATTTTGAGCCATGTCATTCAGGGTCTCTAACCATCGGTTGCTATCATCTCGCGATCCACAACCAGGTAATCTACATCTACCAACATGGCTCAGTCCACTTGTCAGTGACTTCATGGACTTGTGCCATGTTTTGGTCTGGCCGCCCCTAGCTTTCTTCCAACCTACTCCTATACCAGTGAACATCGCACGTCCAGGCAGTCGGTCGTTGGGCACACGTAACACGTGTCCCAGCCATCTCAACTGATGAAGTTTCACCACTTCATCAATCGATTTGCCATCCTTACCTAGTACCCGTTTCCTAACAACTGCGTTACTTACTCGATGGTCCCAGGATATACGAGCAATATTTCGAAGACACCTATGGTCAAATACTAGTAACCTACGAATATCCTCTACTCTTACCGGTCATGTTTCACTCCCTTAAAGTAGGACGGAACGAACTGCTGCGCAGTAAACATGTCCTTTGGTTGATAGACAGATATCTCGCCTACGCCATAAATGACGCAAGTTGGTAAAAGCTAGTCGAACCTTCTGTATCCGTGCTGAGATTTCGTCACGGTAGACCTATGCCTTATAATTTTTTCCACAATTTTTAGATACTTACAGCAGAATTGAATACTTTTTACTTGAAATTCGTACTTTGGGTACCACCTCCTCACTTTTTGTGTCTTGGACGTCTAATCTTTCTGACATTGATGGGAGCCACTGCTATCCGTGAATATTTTGAATACCTTGATGATCCGTAAGTGAATTCAGTAGAGTAAAATAATAGAATTTTTATGTTATTATTTTTGAAAAGGTCAACACATATTTACACACTTTCAAAATATGAACTTTTTCATAATCAAGCCATAAGGACTAGGTAAGACTAATAAAGACGTATAAGGAGCGATTTCGAGTTATAATTGTATCGAATTTTAGGAGCATCTCAACCAATTAACTTGGCTCCTTAAAGAATGTAACTGAAGATTCGTTAGACTCCATGTACTCATTATTTGATGAGGTTGTACAACCACAGAACGTTTCCCATCAGAAAATCGCTTATCTGTAGTACTTGAATATAAAATTCTAGGTGATAATCAATGTCAGTTTGGTTGTTTATCATCACTGTTGCAGAGTTCCATACTTGGATGGCAAAATAATAATTTAGTGCCTCTTAGTTCTAGTGATATTTGCGGTTACTTTTTCACGAATAAGAACAACTAAAAATGAGATCGGTCTTGAAAAAACTATGACCGTGTCTTCACTAGTGAATCTATTTGAAATCTACACCTTGAGTTCCGCTGGAAAATTGTGACTGATGGAAGATACACTTGCTGGAAATAAAACAGTTATCACTAGCAATAACACTAGGTGCTGTACTGTGAATGTAATATCACCGGGCTCGCAGACAACTCAATTGTTCAGTGCCTCCTGCTAACTCAACTGTACCCAACTATGATGTATACTACTCACGAATTAAGCAAGTCTCCACAAACCAATTCAACTAAACTTCACACTGTTGCAGGAAGAGAAAAGCTCTTAAATCTTCTGATGATCAAATCAAACAAGTGAGATTTACTAAAGCTTGTGAATAGACGTATTCTCCATTAACCTTTTACATTCGTATAACTTCCAAACAGACAATAAATCTACTATTTAGTAAAAACAAATGGAGAACATCTACCTTATTATCATTGTACTTCTGTAAATTAAGTGCCAATGTGCATGTATATGAAAACTGTTTGTACTCTATAAATGACTGATTCTCAGTACTTTTCCCCGTTCCTAGTAAATGCAAACGATTTGGGAGACAAGCATGGATGATTTCAAGCATTATTATAACTGAATTCTTGATAGTAATGAAGTTTGGTTGGGACATAATTACTAAACCATTCCCCAGGCACATATCCATCTTCTGGTCGTTGGTTTTAATCGGTTTAGTATCATGGACTTTCTGGCACTTTTATATTGTACCTTGGTTGTTTCGATCGAGTCGCGTATCGAAAACTGGGAAACCAGTAGAAGAAACTATTCAAAATCATCGCCCACAGAAGGTTGAAAGCCCTGTTGTTTATAGACGTAATGCTAGGTCATCAGTAAAGTTGTTAAATCATTCATAGTTTCTTTTCCCTATCTATGAAGATGATTTTATCACATTTTTTAAATTGGGAATTTCAGAAAAAAAATTTGTGACAAACATGTGTTTTTATTTAACTTTATGGCCGTTAAATTTCAGAAAAAAAATTTGTGACAAACATGTGTTTTTATTTAACTTTATGGCCGTTAATATCATTCACGGGTTCGTAACGTCCAGAACCATAAACTGCGATAAGTTCATAAAAAAGAAATAATACCTGACATCATACTGTTAGTTTTTGACACTCTAAAAGTAAACATACATACTTTTGAAACTGACAATACACAATGAAATTTGGTATCCTGTTTTGAATAGTATGAAATCCATTTCTTATAACAACCACTGCTATATGGCACTAAAATATTTTAGGTCAAACAAGCTAGGAACTTATCCCTTCACACAGCTAAATTAGGTTACATTCGTGCTTTTGGTTCTCGTTTTAAAAATTTCTGAGTAGACAGTGGGAACTGTGCTGTATCAAAGTCTGGGTCGTTCATCAAACGTACTGCTAGTCGATCTGAGACAACTTCTCTCAAGGAGTTTACGAGTTCAATGTCTGCGGCAGGTAGTCTTCTGAGTCTCGACCTATATTTATCTTCTACATCACTATTCGAATATTCGTTCGTCTTCTCTTTATTAACGTGATCACTTGCAACAGCATCGGATAAGCATTCTATGAATAATTGATCAGGTGATTGAAACAAAGATGCTGAGTGTTCTTGCATAACCTATTTGAACAGTATAAAAAATAACGAACATGAAGTGATTAGACACTGGGATGTATAATGCGAACAAAGTCATCGTGAAACAAATTTTGGCATAAATTAACTTCTCCAACCTCTAACAGCCGTCAAGAAAGAGACTAGACATATCTCAGAATAATAAATAGAATAAGGATCCCCAAAATGTTGTGCCAACCAGAACGTAGAAGTAGGCATCATGCAAAAATAGAGAAGAGAATACATCTCAATGGAATTCTTTCTCGTTTCAGGAAATGCAAGTTAGAAAGCGACCTAATCAGATTACTTATCTATTTTATACAACAGTCTTCACTTCTATTTCTGAAACTATGGAGGAATTGTTTATTGACTCTGCCGTGCAACTGAGATTTTCCAGTTTGAGTGACTCGTACTTTGGTGCACTCGAGTAGAGATTTCATGGCATCTTTCGAGCCTACACAAAACGTTTCCAAATTTAACTTCCTCCTATTACCCCTCGCGATGGAGCATAGGCCGCCGATCAGGATTCTCTATTGAACTCGGTCCTGAATGATCCTTTCTAGTTGCTATTTATTCTTTTGATGTCTGCTTCTAGTTTACGACCTAGTGTCTCTTGATCTTTCTGTTTCCTTCAGGTTTCCAAGTTGAGGTTGCAAATGATATGTGTTTTTAGTAAAAGTGTTTAAACCTACATCGTAATGAAAATATGAGGCTTCATTAGTTCGCATTTCAAAATATTTGGCCTTCTCTAACCGATGTAGTTACAAAAGATTAAACGCTGCTTAAATAACAGTATCGCCGTTGGATGTAAGCGATTTATTGAGGACGAAAGTCTGTATATATCGTTGCCGTATAGTTTATGGGACGCAGTGTTATATATATATATATATATATATATATATATATATATATATAAGGGAAAAATAAACATAAAGTTTACTACCTTTCGTCTTTTCGCAGGCATGCCTGCTATATATCCATCACTGAATCGCCCGAATTGATTAGGATCATCAGTAGTTGGAAGGTTATGTGACATAGCAGATATATCGCTGGTGACTACATGAATCCAGGCAGGAGGTAAAACAGCGTGCCAACCTTCTGTTTCATTTGTAACTGATAGGTCATTACTCATAGGCAGAGTAGCATTCGGATTAGGGTCAAGTCCATTTATCCTACTATCAGGCAATTCTCCTGGTTTCGGAGTCCAATCAGGTAAGGAGGATATTTTTGATTGTAATTTAAGCTGACCAGTAGGCACATCACTATTACTTTTTGAAACAACTGACATGGGACGGTTCATTTCATCCGAAGGCAAATCAGAATATGCGTCTACAAACGGTAAATCATCACCATGCAAATCTTCATCAAATACATTTCGTTGGATTTCACCACTTGACTAAAAGAAAATAATGAACACTCCTGTAAGGGAAATTTGATTTGTATGTAATATAAATAATTCACGTTTCATTATATTTACACATTCAATCCACTTGTAAATACAGCTTATAAATTTACCAGACCACCGCTTTACTATGCTCGCATGATCATCTAATATTATGTGTGAAATGAAAAAAAAGAGACTAACCGGATCAATCATCATAGGTGAAGGGATTTTGGATTTCCTGAACTCTATATATGAGGACTTTTGGTGTGTCACCTTGGCACGTAATGTTGTTTCATCCATATCACAGTACGATTTAATACAATTCTCAAAACCTGTTATAAAGTCTTGAGCAAAGTCAAAGTTTTCATCATCTATAAAAATTATAAATTGAGAAAAGAATGAACAACAATTTAATGAAATCAGAATAGGGATTTGTGGAGATTATAGTAATTTGAATAGCTGAATTCATGAGTCAATACAAGTATTTAGTAAAATATCATACTGGAAATGACGTATATCCTCTTTACATCACTAAAGATTTTTGGGAAAATACCAACTTTTTGCAGGTGTCCGACAGGTCATGATAAAATACTTTGTTTGTCGTTTACCCCTATCAAAAAATGTCCTTCGAAATAGCGTTTCTGCAAAAACTTATAACTTGGCTCAGGCAAGTCAATTATTTCTAGATTTTAAACAACCATTGCCACTACCATGACTCACGTCGAATATTAAATGAATGAGTGAATAGACGGCGAAAATATCCGACCTAAATTGTGCTATACTTCGAGCAACCCAATCGAGTCCTTAAACTACTGGGTACAAAAAAAATCAAAGATCCTGGGTTTCAGCCGACGATAGTACATGAGAAAAAACGTGGGTATTTATAGATCTTGGGATGTCCTTGAGAACCAACCATTCAGAACATGGCTTTGTAGAGTTTGATTTAACTGTCGGTGCAGTCTTAAAAAAGTGCAAAATAGCCACCAATTTGAAAAACATTTTTCAGCTGATATGGACCAAATTTCCAAAGGAGTACGATATATTTCAGTGGTAGCGATGTAGAGTTGTTTAACAACACTTAGTGACGCCTAGAATAACTTATAAACAGTTGAAAGGACTGGTGAATAATCAGCTCAGTTATCAGTTAGTGTAAAACAGCCTATACACTTACCCTCATTCGCTTGCAAAAATGAATTTAAATGATCCAACAACATATCAAAGCCTGTAGTGATGCCAAACATTTGGTTTCGAATTCCTTGAGGACTTTCAGAACTTGATTCAGTGTGTAGTTCAATACCCAAAGAAGAAGCAAGATGATTTGTAAGGATGTCTGTTAAGCACAGAAGATCTGTGCAAGCAATCTTCAGAGTCATCAGTAGGGTATTACCGAATCCGGTATTCGTTGGACTGGCTCTCCACAAATCCAATTGCGAAGAAACAATATACTTAAAGAATTAAAATGTAAATGAAAATTTACAAACTATAGTATTTAATTAAAGGATAGGAAATAATTGATAGATACATCAGTTATAAAATGACTTTAGAAGTGTAAACTATTAAATCTGTAGGCAATTATATTAAGGTTCCAAAAAAGGCTACAGACGTTTAGACCATTGTGACAACTAACTAATTAAATCAACCAATATAACAATTTCTACAACATTAAAATCCAAAGTAAGACCATGTTAGTATTGCTAAAGTTAGTTGCCAATACTGATAATGTCAAATGAATTCTCACTTCCTTATAATTATTGATGAAACACTTCATTGTGACAATTAGCAAGTAATTCAGTTGCATGCATCTGAAAAAAAAACAGTATCTGTGCTTGCCCTAAAAGTCATTAAAGTGTTAACACATTGATCTGGACTAGGCAATCGAGATCTAGTCAGTCATAAACAACAAAAATCTGAGTCGGTTCACGTTGCCACATTGAAAATCAAGTGGGAATATAAATAAGAATTCATTCGAATTAAAGAATAAGAACTTATAAATAGCTTTTATAACCAGCTGGGATTTTACTCTTAAACAAGAAAAAACGAATATGTAAAAAAACAATATCAAAATTTATGAATACCTTACCCTACATAATTTGGCAAATGATGCTGTTGTATCAACCAAGTGTTCAGGGAGATTTTCACCAAAATTTCTTAGCCATGTTGCGTATTCACTATGAGAAGCATCTGACAATCGATCTCTAAAAATAACACTAACTAAACAATTAACAAGTTCTGTTTGATTGTTCCCCAAAACTGACTCAGCCCAGAAAAGGTGATGTTGCAGATGTTCGCGTAAACCATCCAAAGAGGATGAAGTGATGTGGCCGCAGCTTTGAGTATCAGGATGCTCATTGACTTCATTATGAATAGCAGTAATAATATCACTTAATAACCCAACGGATACACTTCGACCACGTGATGCGCTATTCACGGAATAATTTTGATCATTTACATCTGAAGAATAAATGAAATAACAGTGAGAATATTGAGAAAAACTACTTAACGGAAAAAGTATTTGGGGTTTTGTCAAAAACCGCTTTACAGTAAGTACCCAAACGTACAACCAATAATATTGTTGTTGAATCGGCTTCCAAGAACTACAACGGAGCCTCCAGATGCCCTAAAGGAGCCGAAGAGTTTCAGCCAATCAGAGCATGAGGGAGCTTTCTAGAGTATTAACGTGGCATGCTACTATTGGTCAGTAGCATAATATGTCTCTTCGCGGACTGGCCAAAATACAAATGTTGATTTGAAAAATGCTAATAATCTATAAATACCCGTGTTTTTTTGTACAAAAATGAACCTTCGGAGTAAAGTGCTTTTCACTTAATTTGCGTCTTTTCTCTCGTATTCAGGTCGCTGTGTAGTTCTAGCTTGCGGGTTACCAGAATAGCTTAGGAACCGAATAAAGCGTTCAAATTAGCAGGACTTATCAATGATAAACTCACATTCGCAGGCAGCCATTAAATTCGATGATGACTGGGAAATCCTGGACCATACTGTTTTAATCAATCCATCTATGAGTACACTGAAGATTTGAAATACACCTCTAAGCTGTGATTGATCGATTTCATTAGATACCCAAGATGGCTTAGTTTGAGGAAAAACTCCTAAATGATACGACAGATTGAGAGAATACAATTAAAAAAGTATACGAATTTAATGAAATAAATTCCCGAGGATCATAAATGCAAAAATAAAGACAATCGGCTTAGAAAGTAACAACGGTGCGAAATGACAAGCTGGTATCATTAGTAAACTCAAATTTAGAGTATATTGATTTCTTCGCTTTTTGAAGTATGATTAACATCCTAATACCGCGGCTAACCAACTTACCTATCTCAATACACGATTGAAATTGGGATCCACTACCTACCATGTGATAAGAGAGAGAAGACATTTTATGACTGTAACAAGAACAATTACTTAGTTGGTCACAGACAATACAAAACCAAAGACAAGTGTGTATCAGTTCGGGTTTCTATACATCACATCAGTCGAGTGTGAGGGTAAATTAACACGATATGAAGCGGAGGTACAATAATATTAACTATAATAGGAAACTAAAATGATAAATGTAGTTCAACAAAAACAAATAAGATTGAATATCGAAAAATGTGAAGTAATACTAAACTGAAAATTCAAAGTAAATAAATGAATGTAACTAAGTCATTATAACGGGTTTTGAAGAAATCCTATACAACTTTATGAAGGGTTTCAATGTGCATCGAAGAAAATATCATGAAACTTGTGAAAGTTAAGTTATCTGTAACATCGGAAATTAACAGAATCAAACCAAATTCGGATATTCACCTTACAATCAGTCGATAACAATCATTTAATTAACTGTGTTGTTCTATGTTATTATTGATGATCGTAAGGTGTAAAAATCTTCACATTAGTAATTATAATACTTGGTGAAATGATTTTTTAATGAACTTTGATTCATTGATTTATTTATTTCTAAACTCAAAAAACCTATGATAAAGAATTTTCTGTCCAAAATGTTGAACAATCCGGATTTATTGGAATGCATCCAAAAAATATCCATTCAACACATACTCATGAAACTGAACTACTACAGTTTACAGATTAATCTTACTTGGAGTATTATGCGTCGTTGATCCACTAGTTGTAGTTGCTGTTGAAGTTGCACTTCCTGCTAAATTTGTCACAGGATGGGATGGATTCATTGAGAATTGCATGGGTGACGATGAAACATGCAGATTGAATGGTGAGTGACCGGGAGTGAAATTATCGTTACTCACAGCAGAAATTGCGGCATTGGTGGCGGCGGATACAAGAGATAAAAGGTGTTGTGGCAGACTGATTCCTGAACCAAAGGAAAATGATCCAGGAGGTCTAGTACCTGCAGATCCAGTGTTTACTGTAGGTGGATTACCAGGAGCACTCGGCTATAAAATTACAAAAGCGGATATTACGCCAGTGAAGATGTAGAAAAAAGGATCATACAAAATTGAAACAAAGCGTTTAGTTAGTTTGTACCAGGATTAGTTAAGTTTAACTATAAGAAACCGTGATCGATAAACATAAATGACATATTACAAATATATTATTTGATTTGATAATTTCGAATAAATTGAACATTTGGTAGATTGTTATAAATAAATAGTATATTTGTAGTATCCCAATGAGTAGAAAAATTAGATTTTCTGACGTTTCGTGGCTTAGTGTAAGTCACTTCTTCAGAGAATAAATAACCAAATTAATACATATATATAGCATGTACGAAACATTCGTTCTGATAAGCTGAAATGCTGCTTTCTTTAATTTTTTTGGTGCCACACTCAATAGAGACATAATTCAAACGTGTTTCTCGGTTTGAAGGAAAGGTATTTAAAACCCGGTAAGAAAACTTACGATAACAGTCTACTGATTTTCAGTCATTCGCTTTTGAAAAAATAATTGCTTTTGCCAAATAAAACGTAAATTATACATAAATACCAATAATAATCGGCTTACTGGTGCACATTCTGCAAACGAAAAAGAAACTTGCGACGGTAAACCTGATCTTGTTTGGTTGTTTAAACTGGCAGGATCTACACTTGCTTGTGAATGACCTAGACGACTAATATTAGCACCATGTGGGGTGATGACATCATTAATTGGTGTAAGTGGTGGTGGTTCTGGCAAATTGTATGACGTGGAAACTCTATGACTAACTTCACGTGAAAAGTGACGAGAATTGCATGCCAAAAAAGGGTCAACTGAGTCGATTACCGTGAGTGGAGGGAGTGATGGGCGAGGAACCATAGTTACGTTAGTATGAGTAGTTGGTAGTGAATCACTGGAAGTAGTTATAGTGCGCGTAGTAGATGGTATTGACACAACACTAGTAGGAGCACTTGTCGCAGTTACTGGAGATGAAAGTGATGCTAAAAATGGAGCAGCTGGGAGACTAAATGTGTTTACAGATATTATTGGAATGTCAAAACGATGGATAATAGCAGTGCGTCCGTTTCCCAAAGAGGTTGTCGTTGTAGTCATCGCAGGGTTAGGTGTACCGAATGAACTTGTTACAGCAGGAGCTACAAAAAACGAAATGACTTTCATTATTAAATGACGGTATAAATCTGTAAGAAAAAGCGTAACGAAATAAAATTTAAAAATCAGAAGGAAACTAATTAATAATAGTGAAACTGAGGATTACTTAAAAAGACTTACCATTTTCCGTTTGAAGGTTACTAGCGCGGTTTCCATTAGACGCCGATCGACTTCGGATACTAAAACGGAAAAGTATAGATTGATAAAAATAAGACGTAATTTTAATGAACCAGAATACAACTTCGAAAGATTATTGTTATAACTATATCGATAACAAAATCGATGGTCTGATAACATTAATTAATTCGATCTGTGCTCATTTCAAGAAAGAATAAATGCGCATGGATAGCGTTAGATTAGCAGTTTTATATTTGAGATTATATTAATTGACAATGAACATAAAACTCTCGAAACACATTTAGTTCACTGGGTAATCAATCTTTTAGACCAAATACATAGCATACTCTGATTTTTGAATATACAAATGATAGTACCATGAAAGTAATTATCAAACAAAATCATAAAACTATTGTAATAATTACCGTGAAGTTGAGGAGCCAACATTGGAAACAGGATGTTCGGATCTAATAATTCGTGGTTCCTGTCCATCTCCAGTCGCCACGATCGTAAGATCAGGTGGTTCAACGCTAATCCGCGCACGTATCCGACGTCTCTCAGTATCCGAAACACTTAAAACCCGTTGAGTACATCGTTTGACTTGAGGAACTGGCTTTGGTTCTTTCACAGGATCACTTGTGAGGTCAATTAAAGTATTCGCGTCAGGATCCTGTCTTTGAGATTCATCACTTGTTGATGTTTTAGATTCTGAGTTACTAGTCTGAGAAACAGAAACGGTACTATTGACCTGTTGTGTCTCCCGTTCTGTCATAGTAATTACATTGAAATCAGATATCAAATGAAGCATATGGGCGTTTAAGTGTAGTAAACGGCTCACTTGAGAAAACAGCTATAGAAGAAATAAAACATAAATCAGATTGTATGCAGCTCAAAGTATAGTTAAAAAAATGAACAATCAAATAACCCTAGCCTGCTTGAAAAATTAGTACAAATCAAAAAAGTTTATAATACAATTGCCCCAAAATGGCCTGGTATGGCCGAGAGTGGGGTAAGCCCACCTTCCCTCTCGAAATACTCTCACACGGCCACGTGTATATAGCCTCTGCCATGGAAGTCTTGCTCACTGCCTTCTCGTGGCGGGGTTGTTGTTCACGAAAATGAGAGGACGAAAAGTGAAAGTTCGGCACTTTAACCGGATCCCAAACCAATGGTGCACATGGGCTCCAGTATCCTACGGGAACAAATGGCATATGAACCAAATGTTGGTCACCGGCTGGCATCTGACTGCATCTCCTTACGTTGCTCCACTACCTTGTGGGTCAGACCTTTAGGTCAAAGGCTCGGGGTGTGGCCCCGTAAGAAAACCACCTGCTTCGGTCTGGGCACCCGGGCAGTATCACAGCCCACACACAAATATGATGAAATATTGATATCTATGAAAAATACTTGTCTTGCATCGATTAACATTATCATCATTATTCCTATTATTGTTATTAATATTATTTTTTACGTCATTTATTCACTCTTTTATTTCCACTCTGTGTATCCTTATTTTTCAACTTATACAGCAGCTCGGTTGTATCTAAACGTTCTCGAGTCACTGCCTGGTTGAAAATTGTATGCTAACACCAAATACGAATACTGAAGCAGTTTTTCTGAAATCACGTGCACCATTCAAACTAGCTACCTTCAACGTTCGCACACTTATGCAGGTCGGACAACAGATAGGGCTGGCTATGTCTTCGGAAAGTCTTAATATCGACGTTTGTTGTCTATCCGAGACCCGTATTCAAAACTCTGGAGAAGTACTACAAATTCGCTCTCCATCCGCCGCTGAGGCAGCACTAATCGACTGGATACCCATTAACAGTCGGTTATGTGCTATTAGATTAGAAAATTCCATCAAAGTACGGAGAAATCGGCGTCAGAAACGATGTCATTTCGTCATCTGCACCTATGCCCCGACAGATTGCAGCCCGGATGCAATCAAGGATGAATTCTACCACCAGTTACCCGTTCTTCTCCAGAAAGTGCGTTCGACAGATATTGTAGTACTAGCCGGAGACTTGAATGCTCAGGTCGGACGTCTAGGCACAAAAGAGAATCGTTTAGAAGGCCGATGGGGACTTGTTGGTCGCAGGACAGATAACGCAGACCGTCTGCCGCAACTGTGCACAGACCACGACCTGTTTCTGGATAGCACTACCTTTCGGCACAGTCATCGCCGATGTGCCACATGGCGTCCTCCCTCTGCATCTCAAGCCTGGACTCAGATTGATCACATCGCGATTAGCTACCGCTGGCGTGATTGTGTACAAGACTGCTGTTCCTTTTGAAGTACCTATCTGGACTCTGATCATGCCCTGGTCTGCGCCGATCTTATCTTACTTTCCAATGGCCAACGAAATGACCGCCACCAAAGGATTGATGTTAGCAAGGTCGTTGCAACTAAGTATCGAAACGAGCTAGCTTCTAGGCTAGCTAACATTCCACCGAAAAGTATAGATGAGCACTGGTTGCAACTGCACGACCCCATCAAAATGGCGACTAAAGTCGCTTGCGGCTTCGCGAAACGTCCCGCTCATAAGAACTGGGTTTCTTCAGGCTCCTTACAACTCATCGAAGCCCGTTGGTCTACCCCGGGTGACCGTGAGTTTGACCACAAACGAAGGATGTTACGTAATGAAATCGGGCAATGCTTGCGTAAGGACCGAGAGGCTTGGTGGTCGGAGCGTGCTAATGAGCTGGAGGCAGCAGCGTAGGTGGTAGCAGTTTTGCTCTATGCTCGTGGAACCTGGCCTCTCCGAGTTGACGATGTTAGACGACTGTGTGTTCGATCATCGCTGTCTCCGAAGGATTGCTGACATCCAGTGACAACACTATGTTAGTAATGGTTCGGCATCGCGTGTTCGGGCGCAGATACGATAATCCAATTGGTGTCACCATCTTGAAACACCGACTTCGGTGACTTGGACATGTTCTACGAATGTCGTCCCAGAGAATTCCTCGTCGTGCATTATTTGCCGACTCTGGGACTAGTTGGAGAAAGCGGAGAGGTGGTCAGTGTGTGACATGGTGTCGTGGTATGAAAGAAAGCTGCAAAGGACTGACTTGTGTTGGTCCTTCACGACTCCCTGGCTGGGGTCCTAGAGGTGGTGCGACACAGTGGCTAGAGACGTTGTCAGATATGGCTCAGAATAGAAGCCAGTGGCGATCCTGCTGTAACCTTCTTTTACTTTCTTCATAAGAAAGTAGTTGTATCTTCCTTAACTGAAAGATTTCTTCTGATTGTACCTTTCCATTTCCCCATTATTATTATTGCACTAATCTGGTCGTTATTGTTCTTATTTTTCTTTTACGATCCTATTCTCATTGTTTTGTGTGACGCATATATATTTGGTGCCCTCTTGTAGCAACATTTATGTGTGCGGATTAATAAGTGAAATAAATAAGAAATACAATCATAAAGTTGTTTTCTTGTCGGCAAATATAGTAGACGCTAAAAGTCTAAATACAATCACATTATTACAATGTAGTGAACGAGAACACAAGCAGAGACAACTAAATGTAATCGAACACAAAATTACAAAATGTCTTGGTAAAATTTGGGAACCATATAGTAAAATTGTTCATTTGCAAAATATCAATCAATTGTTTTAGATCTCATTGCTCTTTCGTTTCCACACCAATCATTCTCTGTTCTCGTTTTCTTTTCTTCGATTTACTTAACCTTCTGTCGCTAGGTATTTCAGTTTCGATTGACGATGCATACTACTTATATCAGTAGCACACACGACGGCACTACATTCACTCACAGCACGAAAAAGTTAGTATTGGAATACAACCATTATCAAAAGCAATTCAGTCAGCAGCAATTAATAAATAAAATACTTCACTTTTTACGAACTCAATGAAAGAACCACGCATCACATCCTTCATATTTATTTTAGGAAACAGGAACCCTATTAAAGCGGTAGTAGAATATAACTCCTAGAACTCCAAAAGGACTACGCAGACAAATTTTAGTACAACAAAATCTTAGTCACTCAACTTACACGTGGATGCCAGTTCGACACTTGAGATGTTCTCCTCTTAGTTTCAATATCTTGTGATGTGTGACCAACTTCTAATGTGGAAGAGTCTTCAATAGTGGAGCAGACTTCAGATGTTGTCCCAGCGATCTTACTTTCATTATGCAACATTTCTCCCCACTGGTCTAACTGGGGTTCTATTGAGTGCCACAGTTGACGATATCTGCTAAGCATATCTGCTAACAAAGCCAAAGAAGGTTCTGGTGTGGAATTTATTGAATTATCTACAGTTTCTGTGTTATTTTCTTCCTCAGCTTTTGGTTGCTCATCATTATTAAGATTTTCGATTTCATCTGGGGAAATTTTATCATATTCATCCGTATCCACTAACATGGGTGATGATTCTCGTTTGGACGCTAAATAAGAAGAGCGATTCACTAAAGTACTCACATAATGGGTATTATTACACAAAATAACATCCGAATTGAAAAACAATAATCAAAACCGGCATAACTGCACTGGTATATATATATATATATATATATATATATATATACTGATTTATTTGGAATTCCTTGATCAAATATAAAGACAACTATTTAAAATGTCTTATTTGAAAAAACTAAGAGAAAATTAGGCAAATGCAGACGTTTTTTCTGGGAAAGTGAAATTCCTAAATACAGCATATGAAGATCAATCTTAAAATTCGAACAATTGGTTTAAGGTGATTTTCATATGGCAAACTTTTAGCACATAGTGAATTTTGTCCATTCGCTTTTCATGTGTTTCCATTTGCATCGATTATGTAGTATTCAGTAAGTTAATTGATTTCCAATGCATTATTCCTTGTGCTGATTAATTTACTGGGATTGTTTTATGACAACTGCTCAGTTTGATGAACTTCTGTAATTAATGATGATAGAATAATCAATGCATAAATGAATACACTTGGATGTAAATTGATTATGGGGTTTTTATTATGGAAGCTTCTGAACAAATCTGGACTTTTCACTCTAGTTAGTGGATAGGGAAGAAAATGAAAATAGTCTCGTTGATCGTATTGAAGTTGAGAACAATCAGCTTAGCGCACAGGTGTGTCAGTTTTATAATATTCTTGTAGCGAATAGTTTGGAGGCCGTGTGAAGAAAATTTTCTTCCCGATACTCTCACAAATCTGCGAAATAAACTCAAGTAAGAATCATTTCAGGAAACACGTACGTTTGTACACCACCTATTATGACAGTCGATGGTAATACTTCGACAGTCGAACTACAATAACAGTGACTATAACTTACTGGTGAAATGTCAATCGCATTGGGTGAGTGGGAAATTTTTATTTTAGTTAATACACCGAAGGATGAAACCCATCACATTATTAAAAAACCTCACTAGTGAACCGAAATATGAGTATTGCTCAAGCTATGGATTCATGATACAGTGATGGATGAAAATCTCAGCCGTATGGTCGCTGAAAACAATGACACAAGTGTTGGTGGAGAATCTAGGAATTACTGGTATTTTGGGTTTATTCAAACCATGCCGACTAAAATTTCCACCGAATTCTTCGGTTCCCTAATATTTAACCGACTTTGTGTAAAAATATTTTGCAGGCCATCCGTAAGATCATTGGAAGACATGCCAGTTATTTCGCTAAATGAGGGGTTATTAATCAACCACACAGAATCATTCTATTTATGGTTCCGAAGATTGGAAGCGTGCATTAATATCTAAAACACTTCAATACAAAAAACACATACATATCGATTGGAAACTAAAATTTTAAACTCATGAGATAAGACAGACCACTTCGAGAAAAATAACTTCAATGAACATTTATCACTGGCAAATCATAACCACTCACTATAATATTTAATTTCCAATATCTGCTGGATTTACTGACCTCTATGCATACAAAGATATTCTAGTCAGTTTACACATAATAAAGGTATGGAGCCTGTTGTACTGCCTTATATTTAAGTAATTATTCTCTGAAGGTGACTAAGTGCTATGTTTGGCTATTGTAGACACATGAAATTTGGACTACAATATAATGAACAATTAAAAACTGATACTTTTTAGTAGCACTTAAACATATACTTGGATATTACAGAATGTACCAGATACTTAATATAAGACGATTATGTAACAGAGAAACTACCAACTCTACAGCCTTTTTCAGTATATATATAGGCCATTAAGTTGGACGAGAGTAAGTTTGCTTTATAACCCCATAAAGTACTTAAAATTACTTATTTGTCAGTCGTTGTAAATACCATGATATCTAAAAAAACATATATCGCGGGTTATTTATGGTGAACTTTATTTCATAGTAATGAGTAGTGAGGACTTTAAATAAACGAACAGTAACATTTAATTTGGCGTCCTAAGCATTCTAATACATTATCCCCTCCTTTATCTAAACAAAGAACAAGATATATCAGCAACCACACACACGATTTCAAGAATGCTTAACTCGAACATCCGGAATTAGTAAAACTAATCTCGGACTTACTTTCATTTACATTATCACAAGTGTTAATAATATCAACCTTCTGAATGTCACGTTGGTTTGTGGAATGAGATGTGGAAGGAGACGGATCAGTTTCTGGTGGTTTTACCTTGTTATCATGAGAGTCTTTGTAAGACATTTGGGATATTTTTTGAGTAAGGCGAGTGGCTTGGCGATGCAATTTGTTGAAAGCATTTTCTCGTAAGGTTATTAAAGAATGATCATGAAGGGAATCGCCAGAAAGATCACCATCACGAGAGAGGGGGAGGCTAAAAAAGCGAATCAAGTGAGCTGAAATGATGAACAAATCTTTGATATCAAATCATAAAATATTGTACAAACACAAAAAATTACACATTTGACTAAAAAAGCTGGTATCATACTAGGATTAGAAACTAAGAGGTCAAGAAGTGAAAATTCAAGACAGTGCAAATTTATGATCACAGGTATAAGTTTCGACAGGTAGTGTATTATCAAAGAAATACAGACCAAACAACGAGTGAACCAAACTCTTCACACTTATAAAATATGAGAGCGGGAAACCGGTAACTGATCTCACTTAGTCCAAGAGAACCCGACTATTGTGAACAAGTTTGTATGCATAAGCGATTGATTGAATGACCTATACATAGCTTTATAGAATCTTTTTGAATAACAAAGGCTTATAAAATGTTTTTCAATTCTAACAAGAAATATTAGTTAAGTTCAGCTTTGTGGGCGAGACTATAATTTATGGATGAGTCAATCAGATTTAGGATAACAGGTCTTGGATTTTGGCGAGAAATTCACTCATCCATTTGGCAAAATAGCGTTGTGGCATTTTAGCTGATGTCAGTTCGTGATAAAAACCATAAATCTAATTCCTAACCCTAACTATCAACTTTGAATCATAATCCTTATTCTTTAAACTGCTTTATAACCCTCCATTTTGCCCTAGTAAGTAGGCAGACACTCTTAAGGTCAGTTTAACGTTGCTCAAAGGTCATCCATAAATCATAGCTTCGCCCTATAGGGTATTGATAGTAACAATAGCATCTAAATAACTCATTAATAAACGTGCAAGGACAAGTAATGATTGAGTTGCACGCTCTACAGTGAGTGTTTCATACGTACACATTTCACCTATTGGGCTATCGTGCATCATATCTCATCAACGTATCGAAAGCTATTAATAATTGGAAAGGATAAATAAACTCTGTAACGCTTCCACGATGTCACGACAGAAAACAGACACTAACCGATCTAAATAAATAATATTACAAAAGACTTTTCTATAAATATTTTAATGGATAACTGGATTATAGATCGTTGGTTTATGGAACTAGAATATTAAATGAAATCAGTTGCATATGTTTACTTATCAGAGAACTACTAAATAAGGCCCGATACACCAATCTGTATAATTCCTCCCTAAGGGTTTTGACAGTTAATGGCTCAAAGACATGCAAAGTTCTTGACTTGAATGCTATCAAGGCACAATATATAAATATTGAGCTAAACGATACACTGATTTAAAAGATGATGACTACAAAACAGTAGGTCCTCAGATAAACGCATACTTAGTTGCTCTGCTCAGCTCGCTAACACCACTCAGTATCCCAGAGGTAATGTCTTGTATAGCTTGCTGCATGCTTATACCTCCAAACGTAAATCCGCCTAGACCAGAACCACCCATGTTAGCCGTTGAGTCAGTTGTTGCAGTTCCAGAAGATGATTGTTCTCTGGTAGTTGGAGGGGGCCTGACAACAAGATGTACCACTTTACCTTGAATACCTGAATATAAAGAAAACTGAATTAAGAGATATCCATATTTTCCTAGAATTTTAAACACCAGTTACGTGAACCACTACATAAAACGTACGAAACGTGTCCCATAAGGAAATCAGTGTGGTTTTGACGGAGTAATAGCCCGTGAAAATGAGATTTCGCAGTCTACAATTAAATACACTGGGGGCGCAGTAGACTGAGTCCCGATGAAACAATGTCATCATAAACAGCCGGACGACAGTAAGATCTGAGAGAAGAGACATTAGGTCAACTTTACTGGGATATGTTGACCGTCAAACATCCATTTTATGTAACGGTTATCCCTACTGGTGCTGCCCTATCAAAACAGAAAGGGATTTTAAATGTCAATATTAAAACAACAAGAAATGCCCACAAAGAGCTAGTACCCAACTGGGACTGTGCAGCTGTCGTTTGGGATCTGCAGACATGCTCTTAGTTTGTCAAGACCACTCCTGACAGTCTACTTTCCAGGCTTCTGAAGAACATGAGTTACACTGTTGTCCACCATAAACCATGAAGTGGTCATTGATTCTTACTTTTATTAAAGATCTCGTTTATTTCCATGCAACCACTAACCACAATTATCATGCGAACCTTACCCAGCTATTTTACACCATTCATGATGAATGTAGCCAACAATCGCTTTGCGAATTGACGTCAAGTTTTAGTTTGGTTACCCTGTTTTCTCTCTATTTAATACTTCGGTCAACGCTCAGTGTCACAATAGGTGACTAGGATATTTAACACATGTTTAGGTCACCTTAGTGAACAAAGGTCTCCAACTTTACCAATTGATTCATTATACCCACCTAATTCCCTACATCTTACCTCATCACTGTCAAAGATCACGGTTTACAACCATGAATTAAAACTAAACACTGTTGCTACCTTTATAAATCTCACCTACGTTATGGATGACCCAGCGCAATCAATAAATTTGTTCCAATATTGTCAGACGCCAAATACAGCTAACTACACTTCCCAAATAAATGACTATATCAATGTACTCGAATGCTTCGCTAGGCGTCCAAAAGAAAGCTTTGCATAAGGCTTTAGTAGAAATAGTTGGGGAGATAAAGATATGGATGCGCATATGAACTCATCGGGTGAGACTACAATTTATGGAAGACCTTTGAGAGACGCTAAAGTGAACATGAGTGCGTCTACCTGTCATCACGAACTGATAACATCTAAAATGACAAGGCGCTGTTTGGCCAAATGTGTGAGTGGATTTCTCGCCGAAATCCAAAACCTGCTATCCTAAATCTGATTGGTTCGCCTATAAATCATAGGTTTACCACTCATTGTCCTTGCTCAAGATTTGGTCTGAAATCCTGTCACATTGCTGTTTAGTGATAATGACCCACAAGTTATCATACCAGTTGGGATTAGGATTGGATGGGTTAAACAGTTCGATGATGTTCACTAGCTTAGATGTAATCCCATAATGCACTTAAACTAGGATTATACTATCAGTAAGATCGGGTATAACAAAGCTACGAATACATCAGAATAACATGTAAAAATTAAACTGAAAGTCCGACGTATAAGTAGTGTGGCTATGATGTTTGTACCGCATCTATTAGCACAAAACAAGAATCAGATAGTGTTAACTTAACGAGTGAAAAACACTAAGCTTGTTTGAAGTTCTGAAAACTGGTGTTTTACTAGTACGTGTGGTAATTCACAAAGATAAACTTCTATTCAGATGGACTAGAAAATATTAAGTCGTACATCTCTGATAGTATTCACTTAGTGTCTCCTAAATTACGAGTCGCAACTAGATTAGCTGAATGTGTCCAACCGAATTAAAATGAAGGATATTTTCGTACCGGTAAAACGATCTTGTTGCAACAAAACTATCAAATGAATAAAATGTAATCAAGAACTTACCGCATTCCAACAAAGTTTGTTCATTGTTGAGAACTCTCCCTTGAAAAATAAGGCGTTGTTGATCAGCTGCAATGTTCTATAAAATGGGTAGAATTTTGAAAAACGACTAACCAACTTCTGTTCTATTTCTTTTTTGAAATTTTCGATATTCATGGCCTGGAAACGAGTCAGGCAAAAAAGAAGTACATACCTCATTTTCTATATGGAATATAGAGTCTCTTCCATCAAGCGTTTTTACCGTCACGTCAAACATCTCCAGGAGTGAAAGACGTCGGTCAAAAGACTAGCGGGACCGAAACTTTGGATCACGATGATACATTTAAACACAACTGAACAAATGTACAGGATTTAGTCAGATTAATCACAAATCTTCCTCGTTTAAGCCGTGTGTCCATTATTTACAGGATCTTTCTTCTAAAGTATTCATGTAAGCTTCATTGTTTTTTAAAACTTGCCTCCTCACAATTTTTGGAAAGGACAGGAAGAAAGTATTGAGTCTAATAGCATGTATCTATTTTATTCTGTTTGGTTCTCATATAATGGCTTCACAAGCAAAGTCATTAGCAGAAGTACCATAATATGAAAATTTTGTGGTTTTTATAACTGTGTAGGGCCAGTGGAATGTCACTGAGCCCTAGCCAAATCATCCGGCAGTTGGATCACTGAATGTCGAACAGATCATCGCTCCCTGCCAAGGTCATGTACAACCAACGCGCATTAGTTAATCATACGCCATGGACTGGCCCATGTGGCAGTGGTCTTACTTTCGCTTGTATCTACTTTAACTAATATATTTCTGTAATGACGTCCTTTGTGTTGTACAGTCTTCAAAGCATCCATAGTACCTTGTTACTTCAATGGGGGTAGTCCACGTAAGGTGCTGACCACGAGGTGTGACTTCGACGTTAGTTGGTTCGTCACACTATTCACGTCTAACTCGAGTAGGCCTCCAATCATTTCGACATAGATCATCTACGTTGGTGATCTACAACTGTGATGAAAAAGTCATATTTCTTTTATCTTTACGGATTTTTTGTCCAATCGCATTTATATTCAAATTGCTTGTTTTTATCATTTATGAGTAATTATTAATTAACTGATTGGAAAGTACGTTGCTTTTGGTATTTATTTACGTACGACCAACGTCGTTCCTTTTTCTCCCATACTGACCACTGTTTGTTATTGATTAGTACAATCGTGTCGCTATATCTTTTTATGCTATTCCTCACTACATTATTGGAATTTTAGTTCTTCACGCCTATATTGACTATACCGTGGGGTATTTCATAACCAAGTGAATTCTATTTACTCTGGTTACTCCAGAGGCGACTCTTATGCAGCAATCACTGCATACCTGTTTTCATCATTTTGTCATTCAAATAATAGCTTTGTTTTGCATGTTATCTTTTTACCATTTTCTTATTTCGCTTTATGACAATAATATTTGTTTTCTCATGTTTGTTTTGCGTATAGTCATACCTTGATTAATTTCTCGCATAGGTCCATTGCAAAACTTATTCTGAAGTGAAACTATTAAATCAGTATAAAACAATATGTTCAGTAACCTAGTGGAAGGTTAATAATTACTCGTTTCATGCTATTGCCAACTAGATTCGGAAATTTGGATCTACATGAAGAATAACTAAACTGGACTGTAGCGGAATACGAATCCCAAAACAAATAATTCAGTATGTCTTCCATATTTGATACTAACCTCATTAGTTTTACCAAATACAATTAGCTAAAGAAATGTAGTGGCATTGGGCCCTAACCATACAATCCCCAAAGCTGAACATTCGACAGCTGGGAACCTAGATATTCAGTATTTAACGCGGAGAAAAACCCAACGATGGAGAAGGCAGGAGGAATGAATAGAGCGAATTCGAATTGATCGGACGGCACGGCTTGGCCTTGCAGACGTGGCCAACCTTAAGTGTTGTAACACAATTTTTTGTTCCTATTAAATATATTGTTCTATCTCTAGCCTAAGTTTTTCTCCATCATATATTGGTGATTGTTACGATGCGACGAGTTGTAGACAATGATGTGACTTCCACATGAGATTTTATAGATTAGGCAGTTACATCACGACATCCACAATTTTAGGATCGGGTCTATTATTAGAGCAGCACTAATATCATAGTAGACCATAATTCTACAGGCACTCGGTCACACATCTACATCATATCACGAGTGAGTACGCCGTGTTACTCATCTGCTACAACCGTTAGCCAGCCCACATTAGACGCTTCCCAATTTACAGATAGCCATTCGAATATATCGTAGAACCTCTTAATTTCCGACTTGAATGGGCTAGCGCAATTCGATTAAAAAGGTGTTATGTGTAAAAACGTTGTCCAATTCTGAATATCTGAGGCTGCATTAGTGGTGTGACCGATGTGACCTGGTACACCAGACAGTAAACTGCGAGTCTGTTATTTGCTGGAACACTATATGTCCTTTTCTAACCCTTAGTTTTACATATTGTGACATTGCTTTCATATATTCGTGTATTTTTTTTCTCGTCGATCAATACATTTTATCTTCATCATGACGAAACATACTTAAGTTGTTTAGGACCAAAACTCTTTGGCCTCCCACATTTCAACTAGTGCCGTTTTAACTCGAGAATAACAAAGTTTTGTTCTGCTATACATAAGCTGGCTTCCACGAACACGGCGTGACAAATGCAATTTCGCAATTCATTCCATCAATGAATTCACTATCGCGCGATCCTGACGGTCACTTCACAAGTAATATTAGTGTATCGGAACTACGAAACTTAAAAAGCTATTTTTAGGCTTAGAGACCCAACCGACTGATAAAGGTTAGATCGACTTTTCTACAACATCGAGCTGAAACACAGCGAAGCAACAGAAATGTTGCTACGTATGCGGGAGGTTATCGGACAGTGAACCTTTGAGGAGGGTCTGTTTGGACAACTTTCTTGTCTAAGTGATCAAAGCCGTATTCGCCACATGGTGAACTTGGGAGTTATTCAGCCATCGAATAGCCTGTGGACATCTCACATGCACACGGTCACTAAAAAAGACAGCAGTGATTGGCATTTACCTGGTGATTTTTGGCGACTAAATAACAAAAGCGCTCTCAGTCGTTACTCGTTTCCGACAATCACAATCTAACAGGTACATTAAAATATACAAGTGTATATTCGAAAATAGATCTGGTCAAGGGATTCTACCGAATTCCCATGTGTGCAGACGACATCCTTTTGACTGTTATCACCACCCCATTAGACCCTATGAACTTTCGTAGATGCCTTTCCATTTAAAAAATACTTCACAACCTTTCCAGAGTTTCATAGATGACGCTCCTAAATATCTCACCCTCGTACATGCATGTGTAGATGATTGATTTATCGCGAGTTTGGACATACAATCTCATCTCCAGCATCCACACCTTGTTTTTGAACGACTGAAAAAACATGCCGTTACTGTAATCACTTAGAAACGACAAATCGTGACCGACTTCTCAGGTTTTCTCGGACATACTACTGATGCATGCGTCCTTTGAAGAGCTAAGTGGTGGCCAATCTGGAATAATGACAACGGACCACAGTCAAGCACTTTCAAAGACCTGTTATCTTTTTATCGACCGTTCACACCGAGTTGCGCGTCTCTCATCAGACCCTTAACCGACCAACGTTGTGAAAATATGAAGATCACCAACTTCGACGACAACACGAATAAAGCATTTTATGTAGTTAAGGAAATTAACAACAAATTAACTATACTCTCACGCCAAGACGTCAAGGTACCCATTAGTGTCGCGGTTGATACATCCAACTCGGTTGTCCGAAGAGTCTTGCAAAAATGTGTAAACAACACATGATAATTTTTTCATTATCTTCGAGACGGTTGAAAGCCCGTAAATCAAGGTATAACACTTTCGATAGGAAACTCCTAGCCTTGCATTGCTATGCACAGCACCTTCAACACTCACGTGAATGCCAGTAATTTACTATTTTCACTGATCACATACCTTTTACTTTCTCTCTAAGCTCATCTTTAGACAAGTACTCATCTCGAGAGTCTCGACAGTTGGACTATATTTCTCAGTTTACTTCAGACATATGACACATTTCTGGAGCAAGCAATGTAGTTACAAACGCCTTGTCTCCTATAGCTTCCTTGAACGATTTCTAAGGAATCGACCTTCTTAAACTCGTCCAGTTTCGAAAAGAAGATGGCGATATTCAGCACGAGTTTCCCTCAACAACCCTAAAACTGAGTATTAAACAGTTGTGGACAGGTAAAGAAAACTTATGATGCGGCTCATCTACAGGTGAGGATCGTCCAATCGTGCCGAAATGTTACCGGCGCAACGTCTTCCATACATTGCACTTGCTTTCTCACCCAGATTTTTGAGCAACCATCAACTTCCTAGTAAAAGGACTTCGTTGGTCTGGTATGAATAAAGACTTGAAAGAGTGTGCATACTTCTGTGTAAGCTGTCAAAGAATCTTCCGAATCCTGAAGACACAATCTACTTCTGTTCAACAAATTAGGGAGTTTATTTCTTATCATTCTTCCGTTACGTCATTCAAAACACGTTCAGAAGATTAATAAATTCTCTGAATCCAACTATCAGCGAATAAAATCTATAGATTCAAACTCAAGCTTTTAAGTACAGTTTCGATGTTTTAGTGGCACATCAAAATTCATAGGTGCCTGATCGCTGATATGAATTATCCCTGACCGAGAAATCGGCCCATATAAATTTCGTCATGCAATTTTCCGCATAACGAGAGGTTTTCTTCTATTTATGAAGATGCTGGTGATAAGATTCGTGATGGTGTTACTAAACAGCCTGATATCTTATTACCAAATGTGGATAAATCTACCATACTGCGGAAACTTCAGATTTTTAGCAGAAACAATTCCAGTGCATTCAGACAAGCGAATAATTCCATAAGCACTTTCAATTTGTGATTGGGTATTGAGTCCTATCTTTTATGTAGTAAACTGCATCATATAAGTTCATGCACACTGTCGTACATGTGAGAAGTTTGGACGTACACATTAAGTTTGTAAAGAGTTATAGTCATTCACTTCTGAAATACCTTCGGATTTGGGAAGAAAAATGGGCTTCTTGCCACTTACTGCCAGCTGCAGCAGTACTTCACGTTTATTGCAGAATAAATTTCTAACACAAGCAAGTCTCATTCATTGTTGATACTCGTATCATAGGGTCAAGTATTTCTAGGGGGAATGCATTGCTTATCTCTAATGATGTCTAATTAAAACCTACAAGTAGTGTAATCACGGGCCACTAGTTACCCATTAT